GGGGGGTTGTCTGACTCGATTTGGGCCTTTCGTCTGCGTTGCCCATGTGGGCGTGGCCAAGTCGTGGGCGCTTCCCATTCAAACAAAGGTTCCAAGATCAAGACAAAGACAGGCTCTCTGACATCTCGACCGCTGGGCCAGGGCTTCGGCCCTGGTCTTTGCCCATGGTCCCGGTTATTCGTTTCACCTGTTACATGCCTTTTCTTTTTATCTATGACCGTCCTACGTGGCTCAACTGGCTTCTATAGCGGCACAAAACGTGTCAAAGTCCGCGCGAGTCTCAAGAAAGCGCGGGCTATCGTGACAAGATCTCTTTTCCGGGAAGGGGTGTATAGTTTCTGCTGCACCTCATCCCATCATCTACTTTGAACCGACTGCAAAAACACCCTGCCAAAGAATATACTACGAGACTTTGCTCCCACTCATCCACTCCTTCCCCGTTCTCCAAGCCTTTACCAGCCCTGTGGCTGTGAGGAGGCTCGCCAACACAATGAAAGCAATTGCTTAATTTGTGCCACTCACAGCAAGCCTGGGAAGGAAACGAGAAAAAAACGCAACATGTTAGCAAGTTTCATCTTTGATGCTTGGTCAGCGGATTGTACTCACTTCATCAGGTGGTCCATGAAGGTTTGCAGCGAGACGTCGTCGGTAAAGATTGTTTGCGCCGTCTGGGCACCAACACCGCCGTACGCGCCCGTCGTGTGGGTGGTGGACGGGTTCAGCTTGGAGAGCAGGAAACGAGCCTGGGAACCTCCAGCATCGCAGACGATGAATCGAGGAAGCGGGAACCGGTCGGTGATGAGTTCCTGGGAAATACCTCCTTGTTAGCAGTCACGTCGACTTTGGTTGATATGCCTGATACGGCAACTGTTCTAATAACTCACCATAGCGTCTTCCTTTGGTTGCTGCAGGAGCTGGGCAAAATTCTCGTAACCCTCCTGGTCCTGGTAGCCAGCCTTCTTCCACTGAGCCACGGTCTCGCCGTGGAAGATGAGAATGTGGAAAAAGGTGTCGAGCAGCAGGATGTGGGTGGGCTGGATGGAGGCCGAATCCAGGAGCACGGGCTGGCCACCATCCTGGTCGAACGTGTACGAATCCAGTGTGGGCTGGATCATGATAAGCGAGTTGCTGACGTCCTCGTGGTTTAGGACGTGACGGTAAAAGGCGGTCTCGTCGGGGGAGTTGTTGAAGACCTGCAGGAACTGACTCCTCCGCAAATGGAACATGAACTGGGGATAGAGGGTGAAGTTCTTCTCCAACCTGAACGACGAGGGGTCGTCTTTCCTGTAGTCGGCAAACCTCGAGCACAAGCTGATCAGCATGCGATCGACCCACCGCAGCACGTCGGGCCCGTCGTCGACCTCGGCCTTGAAGACGGCGATCCTCGACATGAGCACGGCGGCGGCCTCCTGGTCGAACGACTGGGCGATGGCCGGGTCGCCAGCGGGGCCGCCCAGGTTCCGGGCGATGGTGGTAACGCGCAGGTGGAACTGGCCCGACGAGTGCTGGTAGTATGTGAGGAACTGCATCATTCCCTTGGCCGCCTGCTGCGTGTGCGGCGACGGGCCGCCCTGGGCGATCTCGAAGTAGACACCGTAGCTGGACGTCGGGTCAATGCCGCACATCTTCCACGAGCACGTGTTGCCGATACCGCACTCGGTCTCGCCGACCGAAGTCGACCTCTTGTTCATCGAAACGGCGTGTCCAATGAGGCCGGTAACCTTCAGCTCCTTGGTCGTCAGGACCTCGAGGATGGCGTTGAAGCCCATTAGAAGGTTTTCGTCGGCGTCCTTCTCAAACACTCGGATGAAGGACTGCTTGAACATGGACGACGTGAAGCTGTCGATCAGAATCATATGGCCGCCGGTCGAGTTGCAGAGGCCCTTCATCTCGAGCAGGCCGACTTGGTCAAGACAGCCAGCAAAAATATCTATTATGTGCCCGTTGTGGGCGGTCCTCTTGGCCAGGGCGTCGTAGAACTGGCCGGTTGGGGGGGTAGGATTAGCGCCGGGCCTGGAAATGGCTGGGGAGCGGACGGGCAGTGTGATGCTCACCTTCAAGGCCTTCTTGTAGTACTTGATATTATCACGGTCAATATCGTGGTGGGAGCGCATGGGCTCCCTGAGCTCGGAGCTGACGACCATGCCAGGCCCCTCGGTGGCCGGGCCGGCGGCGAAAAGCATGATGCGGCCGCCCGAGTTCTGGAAGGACGACTCGAGGAGGCCAACGGCGACGCTGAGGGCAACACCGGTGCAGCGCAGGTTGCGCCTGTCGTTGGCGACGGGCCAGGGGTCCTTCTGCAGCTGCTCTAGAGCCTTGGTGAGCTGGAACTCGCACTGCGAGACGGGGAGGAGGAAACGCGAGGCGGGGCCCATGGGCATCTGGCGACCAGGCTGGGGCTGCATGCCGGGGCGGATGGGCAGCTGGCCGAGGCCGAGCATCTCCTGGACCTGCTTGGGCGCATAATCCTTGCTGCCGCGGAAGACATACGACTTGGCGCACTCGGTGTATCCAATCTCGTGGACTTGGGTCTAAGGGGAGCATCAGTCAGCCAAGGGGGTTGAAAGCTTGCGCCGCCCGGTGTGGGAGGTTAAACATGTGGAAGGGAGCGCTGGACGGGGCGTGACCAACCATGGTGCCAAAGGTGATGAGGCCAACGAGGGCGTTCTCAGGGAGCAGGCTCAGGCTCATGACGAGTGACTCCTTGAGGGCCGAGAGGCTGTCCTCCTCCTGGCACGTGTCGACGACATAGAGGAAAATGGGCGGGCTGGGGGCCGGGCGCGACAGGCGGTACTCGATGGTGGTGTTGGAGGGATGCAGCTCCGGGGGGATGGCATTGGCCGTGATGTCCTTGTAGTGCGGCGGCAGCGGGTTGCGGGACAGACAGAAGGGGCATATCCAGATGCGCGCGCGGACGTCTACTTGGCTGCGGAGTGGAGGGGTGGTGGCGGTCAGCATCAGGATGCGCCGGGGCGGGCAACTGCTGCGGCACGTGGTGGAGGGTGCCGGGGCGCGAGGGCGACAGCGACCTACCAGAAGGGGTTGAGGACGGAGCGGCATGGCTGCTTGCAGGTGACGGGCTCGAACTGCAGGAGCGGGGTGTCGGGTTTCTCCTTGAGGGGGGTGTAGAGGGCGCCGATAGGGACGACGAGACGCGAGGCTTCCTGTCGCGGGAGGGCACACTCAGCAAACATATCCGGCGGGCGGCGCGCCGGGGCAGGCACGGGGAGAGGAAGGGCCACCAGCAGAGGGCCAGCAGAGCAAACCAACCATGCGGGTGCTGGGGAAGACGTTCCAGCTTAGGCGGACGCCATCGCGGTCTTCGACCTCGCTCCACTGCTCCTTGAGGTTTTCGTAGTCCATGGCGGGCGGGTGATGGCCAAGCGCGGCGACGGGCTGACGGCCGAGTCGGGTCGAGTCGCGCGACGGGGCAGGTAAATCGGCGGAGCGGTGGTCGAGCGGGAGGAGGCCAAGGCCCGGACGGCGGGGGTGGTGGTAGTGGTGCGTGTGTGATCAGGCTGGGAGCAGGAGACGGCGGCGGTGCGGCTTCTCTACTGGTGGCAAAGTATCATGGTCTGCCAGGCCGCTCGTGCTTGCGAGGTGGGTTGTGAGGTGTGTGGGTTCGCAGATTCGCAGAGGACAGGTCAGTTGCATCAAGCTCATGGGCCCTCCACTCAGCAAAGCTGGCCCCTCGGTCGAAAAAGGACACCACACCTCGAGCGTTATTCGTGCCTGCCAGGGTGTGGCTGGTGGCTAGGTATGCAGTGGCTGGTGCTGTGGTGGGGTAGCTTCGACTCAGCCAGGTTCCAGGCGCTCCAGGGTTGGGTGGGGCGACAGAGGCTCTGCCTCAGCACAGCCAGTGGTACTTGGTCTCAATCAATCCTCTGTGATGCTCGCCCTGTCCAGAACAACGGCTGCGGCACAGGCCGTGTGCTGTCAGCGCAAGCGCGAGTGCTGCTTCTAAATCTGGCTGGCCCAAGAATGAAGCTGATCCCTGGCCAGCCTGGCAGTGTGAGAATTATTCGGCATGTGCGCAGCTGTACCTGCGGCGGCTACGTACCACCCCTGCCCCCCTCCAGTCTCATCCTCGGACTTGCGAAGGATGCGGGCCATGCTGAGTCCGAGGCTGGCTGGTGGCCGCGCGCTTGTCCAGGTCAAATGGAGGGCCAGCAGCCTCTGTCTCTGTCGCGTCGCGACTCTTCGCCGGGGCTTTCCATTCCGTCATCTCTGCACCTCAACCTAGAAAGGCACCCCTAAACGCCGAAGTGCTGTCGGTCCATCCATGCGAGCTTGTGCATGTCATCCTCCGCTGATCGGTCCTTGTCCCGCCCCATTTGGTTCCGATACTCGGTTGCTCTGTGCTCTTTGAGGTGGCATACCCTAGAGCCATCGCACGGGCACCTACCCATCACAATCAATCAGAGCCGCTCGACGGCGGCCGCGGCAGTATGTCGCGGCTCCTTGTAGCCCTGGCGGCCTGCCTCGCGCTCTTTCCACGCAACACCATACAGTCTCCAGCATCGCCCCTTGCCCCTCTCGGGCAGAGACAAGAAGATGGGTTGGTTAGTCCGTCAGCGTTTCTGCGAAGGGCGTATCATAAGTGTAAGCCCAAGAAGAAAAGAAAAAGAAAAGAAAACCATCCGCTACTGGGCCAAGGCCGTTCGTTGCTAACCTGCAATCCATTTCCCCAGCCGAGATTCTTGATGGATGGCTATACATCGATGGCGGAGAGTTCTCGTACCGAACATCAACCGGCATCAGGTACCAATACTGTGCGTCCATCAACATGCTGTGTCTAGAAAGAGGTTCCTGGTGATGGGCTCGTAGCGTTCTAACAAGCTAAACACGCAGCCACGTCTCTTTTGGCCATCGACCTGTCCCAAGACTTCACTGGCGCTTCAGTCAAGATGATCTCGACGCCCAAACCCCTCGGCGCACCATCTCTCAGGCAAGGAGGGCTGTGGGTGGACCGCACCCAAAAGGTTCTCTACTTGGGGTTTGCCGGTTCGCACTCGGCATTCTCAGACAAGGCCGACTCGCCAAGGGGGCTGTGGTCCTTTACGCCTGACGGCAAGGGCAGCGGCAACTTCTCGAACCTGAACGACACGGCCCGGGCTTGGTTTATGGAAAACCCCCGGCCCTTTGACGGACTCTACGCATCTGGCGCCAAAGCCGGTTACTTCTTTGGGGGCTTCGAGGGCGACAAGCCCGACATCGAGGGGGTCGGCGTGGCCGACGAGGTGCCCACGTTCGGAATGCTGACCTACGACTTCAAGACCAAGACGCCGACCAAGACGCCAACCAAGTCGGACGCCAAGGGCCCCAGCGTCGGCTGGGAGATGCAGAGAGGCAACATGATATACGTGCCCAACTTCGGACGCGAGGGCATCCTCGTCTCGGTCGGCGGCTGCCAGAGGAGCAAGAAAATGAAAAATGGCGATTTCCTGGTGGACAACACGGTGGCGCGCGTGTACGACATCGCGACCAAGTCGTGGCACGATCAGACCACCACGGGCAGTGAGCCCGCGCCGCGCAAGGACTACTGCATCGCCGGTGCGGCCTCCACCAACAGGACGTTCGAGATCCTGATGTACGCGGGCTGGGCCGGCGACCTCGGCACCAGCGCCATCGCGTTCGACCAGGCATACATCCTCTCGCTGCCGTCCTTCCGCTGGTTCAAGGCCGAGTACAGGGCCCTGCGGCCCCGCCACGGCGTGTCCTGCCACCACGCCAGCGGAGGCAAGGTCATCACCGTGGGCGGCGCCGACACCACGCAGAATGGGCCCAACTTGCTGTATCGGGACGTTTTCAACAACGACGATTCGTTCAGCCAAGGGATCGGCATCTTCGATCTCAACACCCTCAAGTTTGTCGATTCGTACAAGGGCGGCGGCCCCGACTCGTACACGCTGTCCCCTGAGATCCAGAGCTGGTACAATCTCAAGTAAGTCGCTTTGCCTGATGGGCTCCCCCGATGCGGTGCGACGCCCTCGGTATGCCCACCCAAGCTAATCATCACTCGCATAGCTCCCGGCTTCCAACCTTCGATTCGGGGGCCGTGTCAGACGCGTTTGCCGTGGAGAACTTCACCGTCCAGTCCGTCAGCAAGCCGCCCGCCGACGCCGCAAGCGGCGATCGCGACAGCGACGGCGGAAAAACGTCGTCCAACACGGCCGCCATCGTCGGCGGGGTGGTGGGTGGCCTCGCGCTCACCGCCCTCGCCGCGGGCCTGGCATGGTTCTTCCTGCGCCGGCGCAGGCGGCACCGAGAGGCCGGGGTCGGGGCCGGGGCTGGGGCGGCGGTGCAGTCGCTGTCGGTCGGCCCCCACGCCAAGGGCGCGGGCGGCGTCTACCACGAGGTGCCGCAGGACCATGCGGTGCAGCCCGCCGAGTACTACCGCCCTGGCTACGAACCCACGCGTGAGAGCACCCCCGTGGCCTTTTACGATCCGCCGCCGCCGCCACCCGCTGTGGTTGCTGCTGCTGCCGCGCGCGGACCGACGCCATCCCTCACGAGCGAGCAGACCCGGTATGAGCTGTACAGCACGGTGCCCAGCGAGCTGGCGTCGGTCAGCTCGGGCGGCGTCCAGGGATCGCTGCATCTGCAGCACCAGCACCAGCAGGGCCAGGTGCACGAGATACAGAGCTTCCAGGACGGCCGGGCGCGGTCCAAGGACGAGGATAATTACAAGTACAACGTACGGTTTTAGGTTGGCGTTTTGGAAAAGAAAAAAAAAGGGGGGGGAAGGGTTTGTGCTGGTCGCATTATATCAGAAAGCATTTGGCGTTTAGGCAAGGAGCATATATTTAAATGTCGACTGTTTTTATTCAAACGTTTCTCGTATGCGCCGCAACACGTTGGCCGGCTCGCTTTGCAAGTGCGGGGCTCTGGATTGGGCACCCCGAGCCGTCATGTCGGCGTGGCTTGCATCAGTCGGCCGCATGACTCAGGCCGGCCTTGTGTAATGTCGATATAGGCGTATGCTAGTGAAGTGATTGAGGCACAGGTGCTTAAAGTCTCCGCGTCTTGCCTTGCAAACAAACCTCCCTGCCGCTCGCAACTCCCCCGCTAGACGCAACCTCTTGAGCAGAATCTTTTGACCCCGCCTGATACGCACATACACACCTCTCTCAACAACATCTCGACGTACCCACACATCACAAACGGTAAAATAAAATAAAAACAAAGAAGAAATGGCCACCACAGCACCACCCACGCGACCGGCGGTCAACTTCATCACGGGCAACAAGAACAAGCTCGCCGAGGTGCAAGCCATCCTCGCCTCCACCATCGACGTGCAGAGCCAGAAGCTGGACCTGATCGAGGTCCAGGGCACGCTGGAGGAGGTGACTCTCGACAAATGCAGGAGGGCGGCCGAGCAGGTAGGTTTTGTTGTTTGCTTTCTAGCATGTTTATTGTACAGGAACAAACACTAAATATTGAGTAAAAAATAAAAAAACACTACTACAAAAAGATCCAAGGCCCCGTCCTCGTCGAAGACACATGCCTCTGCTTCAACGCGCTCAAGGGCCTTCCCGGCCCATACATGTAAGTCACAACCCACCCAATGAACAAAAAAAAAACACAAAACCTTTGCAGGAAGACGTCCCTTCCTTTCTCTTTTTTTTTTTTTTTTTTTGGTCACTCCCACCAACAGCCAACTCCTCCAAACAGCAAGTGGTTTATGGAGTCCATCGGCCACGAGGGCCTCAACAACCTGCTCGCCGCCTACGAGGACAAGTCGGCCCGCGCCGTCTGCACCTTTGGCTACTCGGCCGGCCCAGGCTCCGAGCCCATCCTGTTCCAGGGCGTCACCGAGGTAAAAAAGCGCCACACTGCCCCCGCCACACCTCCTCCCCTTTCGCAGGTTTTTGAACAGGAACAAGCAGCAAAAAAAAAAAAAAAAAAAAAAGGACGGAAACTCGCTAACCTCTTTGTCTGGTGTGATCTACCCACCCTGACAGGGCAAGATTGTTCCGGCCCGTGGGCCTGCTAATTTTGGTGAGGCGAAGCCGCAGCCCCCAACTCTCCCCCGCCCCCCCTTTGGCTGTACGACCCAAGTGTAGCTCCATGTGCTGATACCGCTGTCGTCCATAGGATGGGATGCCGTATTCGAATACGAGGGCAAGACGTAAGTTTATGTTTTATTTTTATCCTTGTTGAGTTTTATCCCTCCACATGGTTGAGAGCTCTCCCTCCGTTTCCTCCTCCAAATCTTCCCTGCTTCTCCAGACATGCATCGAAACTGAACATTCGCCCATCGACCAGCTACGCCGAGATGGACAAGGCAGCAAAGAACAAAATCTCGCACCGCTTCAAGGCGCTCGAGAAGCTCCAGTCATGGTTCGCCGAGAAGAACAACACGGCCTCCTTGTCATAGACCGTATGCACAGACAGGCGCATAGAATCCTCACGGTAAAGAGAACAAGAAAAAACCAAGGTTATGCTATCAAGTACGAACCAGGAGATCTCTACATAAACAAACAAAAGATGCACGTCGACTTGTCTCTAGTTATGTTTCGTTCCGCCTCAGCTCCAAAAGAAAGTCTACGGAGAAAATTAAGAAGACCTAGGCCCTCCCCACCTGAACGCGCTGGCTAGTGAGATGAATCGCTTGACTGTAGATGCTGGCAGCACAGCAAAAAAAAGAGCAAAGAAGACGACTAGACTAATATTATTAAGGATAACGCGGGGTACGGGGAGCAAAGGTAAAGACTGGCGCAGCCAGCATCTTGCCCGTTGCATACACGTCGTTGGACGTGTATACGCCAGAATTCACAATCATGGCCATGGCGGCCGCATCCGTCTCTTCAGGGGTCCGCTACGCCGCTGACGATGATGATTGCGTGAACTTGGCAAGCCTGCGAGAGACGTGTCAGCCATTTTTTCTTTTTCCGCATCTTGAAAAAGAGGCCGTGGGCAAATCAAGACTAAGACCAACGGAGAAAAAAGAAAGCGATCAGAGGCCAACTTACTTCAATATCTCAAACGCCTCGTATTTCTTCAGGTACTTGTGTCCTCGGCGGTACGGCTTCAGGGCCAAGTCTGGGAAGCGGTGGTCAAATTCGCGCCCGACCAGCTTCACGATGGCGCTCGAGTCGCGAAACATGGGGTCGAACACGAGTAGGTTGACCTCGCTTTCTTTTGTCCGCTCGATCCCGACGATGGTCATGGAGTGGCCCGCGTGCTGGAAATAGAGAGGCGGCATGTTGGTGCGGCGCACCTTGTACGCCGGGTCGTAGCTGGGCGTCTCAAAGTACCGCTCGACCTCGGCGAGGAGTCGGGATTCTGACCTGCCCGGCTCTCGGTTCTTGAAGCCGTGAGACTCGCATCTGATGCCATTATGTGACGTGTCAGCTCCAAAGGCCTGTCGGGTACAGGGTCGGAATACGGAGGAACAGATCACCTACGGTATTTGGAGGACGCCAAAGACAGCCTGTGCCTCCGGGGTTCCAATATACTTGCGCGTCATCCTGATGCCCCCAGTCTCGATTCGAGCGTGCGCGTTGATGCCCTGGTCCCAGGCGTCCTCGATCCAGTCCTGGAGTTTGAAGACCGACGGGAGCTGCTCAAAGTGATGTGCACCTATATGCCCACTTGACATGATGAATGACACAAGCATCTGGATATTTCGATAACCACAGAAGCCGCCTGTCGAACCCAAAAATCAGTCAGCCAGAAGTTGCGGTTAGCATAGACTGCCTGCCGCCCAAGCCTAACCATGGAAAAGACCCGCCGGCTTGGAACGCTGTCGGGGCAGCTTGACTTGCCTTCCTTCTTCAGCTTGGAGATGTGCTGAACGCCAGGATGACAGAGATACGCATATCGCGTCGTTGGGCTCTGCTCGAGCAGCTGCTCCAGAACAGTCAATATGCCTGTGTGCCCGGGTAGCCCCAGCCGTAGTTAGCACCAGACCGCTTGCGAGGCACGCCCTCGAGACAGCCTATTCCATCCTCTCACTACAACTCACCATCAGCCTTGACCTCGCCGCCCTCCTTCAGGTGCGTGATGAGCCAGTCGGGCATGACATCCTCGTGCGCGTACTTGCCCAGTTCCGCCTTGCCCAGCCGCTTGCGCGGCGGTGAGGATTGCCGTGGCGGGTTCGTCGAGGCGCTGCTGGCCGTGGCGGTGCTCCTGCTGTTCCGATCGCGGTCACGGTGGCGTCGTGAGGAGGAGGAGGACGAGGACGGCGAGGGCGATGACCTGCTGAGGAGATCCCTCCAGGCCTGAATGGTTGAGCGGCGGGTGGTTGGCTGCGGCTGGCTGGTCGGCTCTTCGCTCGTGCGATGGCGCCGGCTGCTGCTGCTACTTTCATGATCATCTGCGCGGCGGTGGTGACGAGTGCTGCCTTCCCGATCGTCCCTGGACCGCTGATGGCGGCGATCACGGCTATCCTCCTTCGGCTGCGGTTCACGCTCGCGCCGGCTTTGTCTCGGCTGTTGCTGCTGCTCCTGGGGCGTGGTTGGGGTGGCTGCGGACGAGCTTCCATCGCGCCCCGTGGCACCAGGGTCGTCAAGACCCTCCTCTTGAGCATGGAGGTCGACGTGGTAGGCCACCTCAGTGGGTACGAGCCACTCGCCGCATCCTATGGGGCATGCGACATAGTCGGCATCCTCGTGGCCGCCCCCTGCAGCCCCGCCCGGTGCCGAGACGTCCCTGGGTGCCTCAGTGGCGACGAACGGCGAGTCACCCTCGGAGTGCTGCTCCTCCATGTGCTAAGCGGCATCCAGAGCGTGTTAGTTGGAGCAGTTCTCGACAGCCTAGCTTCATATCGCGATTCCCGCTCATGCTTGATGAGAGACAAGGCAGGGAGGGGCCAGGACTAAGAAAAGAAACCGGGGAAACCCGTGGGGATGCAGCGAACGTTGGACACAGGGTTTGCCCGCCCCTCCGCCCGTCGGACGCACTTACAAGAAGCATGCTATAATATGTCGCCTGGTAGCCGCAGAATGGGCAAAGCTGCAGGCTCGTCTCATCCTTTGCGGCCATGGTGTCGACGCCAACGCAGAGACACCTCGCCTAGCGCGTTGCCCACAGATCAAGCTTGGGCCGAGGTTGGGCTCACCGGCTCCAAATATGGTTCCCACAAGCTCGATCCCACACATGCGGCGCTTGCTCCTGGGCCTTCTTTGCCGCTGATTGGTTGTTTCACACGCTGTGCCGGAAGGAAGGCCGTATGTATGGGCGCCGCCGCCTATGAACCAGCACCCAGCACCTCAGGTGGCGCTACCACCGGAAAGACCCCAGCCCCCACCGGCCAGTGGGGGAACCAGCAGTTTGCAGAGTGGCACTTTCAGGGTCGATATACCGGCCGTGGCTGCGCTAGAGAACGGCCATGCAGGCCGGGCAACGAGACGGTGGGCTGTCGGGAGAGTTCGTGCCTTGATCTAGGGGATGGTTTTGTATGGCCCCGGAGAAAAAAAACACAGACGAAGAGAGATCGAGTGTGAGGTAGAGACTGTTGAGTGAATCGCCAAAAAGATGCCAGAGGAAAAAAGAAGGATGAAGAGCTGAATCCTAGGTAAGGCAGTGAGAGCCAAGGTTTGGGTGGCGCTGTGAATGATCTCGAGGTCTCGAAAGAAGCGCGAAAAATTGAGCGAGAGAGCGACAGAGAAAATCCACGACAGTCGCGCCCAGATTTCGGGGGCATATATAGCACTGCGAGAGTGTGTTATTAGGTCGTCGGTACCTCTAGGGAAAGGGTACCGCCAGTCAAGTTATGGATGCTCTGAGAGGTCTTGAGCGAGTGGGCGGGAGTCAGTGAGCAACATGGAGCTCAGCCAACGAATGAATGGCCCTGGGGCTTTCCAACTGCGGCGGGTTTCAGTTTGTCGGGTCGGGTCGCACGACGTCTACTGTGCTGTGTTTGCGCTGTGCTTGCTTGCGTGGTTGCTGTGCTGTGCTGTGCTTTGCCGGTTGCAGCTTTCCACAGCAGCATGGAGCATGGGTCTGGTGGTGGTGGACCGCTGGATAAGGCAGGCAGGTGTACAGGCAGGCAGGATTGACCGACGGGCCTCGTGCTTGCCTCGCAATGCTTGCTCGCTGGCGAGCATCCACTCTCTTCACTCAACCGTCGCCGTTCCACAACCCAGCGCCATTAGGTCTGCCTGCTTTGTCCGGAAACGGGCAAGCGGACAGTCAGCCCAGATTGGGAAAGAAGAAAGAAAGACGAAGAGAAAAAAAAAGGGGGGTTGGGCACCCGACACGGCAATCTGTATTCGCTTGCCAGCCTTTCCCGGTCTTGGGTTAGAATCCCCAATCCGGAGTTCACCAGCTGGTGCCGCCCCCATACCTGAATCCGGCCGCAGCGCCTGACGAGGGTCCCGCGAAGATTAGCGACAGGGGATCCGGCGGTAATTCCGGGGAAGGTAGGACGAATCTGCCGCAAGCAGCTGCTGAAAGAAAGCATGGGCTGATGAAAACATAATGATTGAGTGTCTTGGGCTCGGCAATCACTCCCCCACGGCTATCCCCACTCTATATAAGCATCTGCGGAGCCCCTGCTCTTCAACGATTCGTCGCTCTCCTTGGTGTAGTTGGTTTATCACGTTCGACTGTAATTGTTCAAATTGTTATCGAAAGGTCCCTAGTTCGATTCTGGGAGGAGAGACATACATTTTTGGTTGTGATCACCATCTTTTACCATTTAACCTCACATCCATACGCGTTGTGCCCAATATTTTGCTGTAACGGCGCGTTAGTGTATTTTTGTGTGTCAAGTCTCGCTCTCCTCTCTCTAAATCACATTAGACGAGGCCCGGGGTGAGGGAATGGGCACTAGTTGCCAAAACAGCTGGATGCATCATCGTCGCATCTCCTCTTTAGCGCCCACCATACCCGTCTCATTATTCGCACCGTCATGGACATCTGCATAGCTCTAAACGTGCATGCTCGGACTTGGCAGCCCCGTGCTCGTTTGTTGCACTCTCTATCCCATAATCTAGCTGCGATTCTGTCTCAAACCTTGGTGTCGCTCAGCTTGTCGGCTACGTCGGCCACCGCGCCCGACACGGCAGCGGCTGCTGCCGCCGCCTTTTGCTTGGCGCCACCCTTCTTGCTGGCCTCCTTGGCCTCCTTGACAGCCTTTGCCTGCGCCGCCAGGTCCTTCGGGAGCTCCCGCGTGAATGGGATGAAGTCTGGCGCTCCGGGCAGGTACTTCCGCAGAGGCTCCGGTACTTTGAATCCCTGATGTGGAAATAGAGGTATAGGTTAGCATGCTCCCGCACTTGTCGAATGTGTTGCACTTCCAAGGCTTGTGGGAGGTCCGTACCGTCTCGGTCTGGTAGTTCTCTAGCAGACAGCACATTGTTCTTGACGTGGCCGTGAGAGTCGAGTTCAGGCAGTGAACGTAGCTCTTCTTGGTCTGTATTCGTGGGTTAGTGGAGGTGCACGCTTCTGCTGTTGCTGCTACGTGATGTACTGAAGGGGGCCACAAACAGTAGTCTGGGTTTTGGTGCCGAATCGGATGTCGAGTGACCTCGACTGGTAGTCAGTCTGTTTATCACCGTGTCAGTCCTACTTGCTGGCGCTCATGGTGTTAGGGTATGGGCCTACGCAGTTGGAGCATGAGACAAGCTCCTTGTACTCTCCCTGGAACGGGAACCAGGCTGTAGTGCATCGCATTGTTAGTTACGGCCTAGTGTTGGTGGTGTAGGATTTTAAGTACCTTCGAGGTCGAACTTCTTTGCCGCCGCATTGTTCAGAGCGCCAGATACAATGGAGACGACCCGGCTGGTTCCATTGGAAATTTGTTAGCATATTTCTTGGCAAAGAAAGGGGGCTAGCTGTGTGCGGGTAGGAGGGCATACTATGGCAGTCCGAGTCCCTTGTAGAACTCCTCAGAGTTGGCGATCATCTCATCAAACATCTCCCATGACTTCTCCGGATCAGCTGCGTATCTAGTCAGCTCAGTTTCTTTCAAGTAGGTGATCCAAGACGAATTTCTGTGGGTACTTACTTATGCAGAACTGCTCAACTTTCCTAAATTTGAAGGCAATGTGCGTGAGTAAACAAGACCGGCCAGCAAGCAGGTGTCACGCGCAACCTCAGAAAAGAACTCACTCGAACTGGTGAACACGGAACGTTCCCCAGACATCACGACCATGACCGCCGGCCTCCTTGCGGAAGCATGTGCTGTATCCGGCATACTTCAGGGGGAGGTCCTGCGGCAGCAGCCACTCGTTGGCGTGGTAGACTGAGATGGGCTGCTCCGAGGTGGCAATGAGGTATTTGTCGGCCTCACCGTCCACAACCTTGTAGAGCTCTAGCTTACTGTTAGCCTTCTTTTCAACCTATAAAAGACTCAAAGCGCACATACCCTCGTCAAATTGCTCCAGCTGGGCCGTCTTGGACATCTGGTCCTTGAGGAGGAAAAACGGGGGCTGAAGGGCCGTGTAGCCCTTGTTGGTCAGGAACTCGATGCCGTAGTTGATGATGGCCTGGTTCAGGAAGACACCCCTAAACGGAGAAGAAAAAAGGCTTTCGTCAGCAAGGGCAAGACGCGCGCGCATTGAAAAAAAAGGGCCCAGCATCAAAGCCTCAAGGAAAACCGCGCCCGCGTACCATTGTCTCAGAAAGTAGCCGCGGTGGCCGACGGCCTTGGTGCCGCGCTCCGGGTCGTAGCCGTCGAGCCTGGTGAGGACCTCGTGGTGGCTGAGGCACTCGCGCTTCTCGGCCGCCATGCCCTCGGGGGCCCACGTCCTCTGGACCTCGTTGTTGTCCTCGTTATCGCTGACGGGGACTGAGTCGTGCACGATGTTGCCGATGGTCGTGAGCTTCTTGTTGAGCAGCTGCTCCTTATCGGCCGCCAGGTCCTGCAGTCGCTTCTTCTCCTTCTCGAGCGCTACCTTCTCCGCCAGCAGCTCGTCCGCGTTCTCCTTGGCCTTCTTCTTGGCCCCGATCTTCTTCTGCACCTCGTTTATTTGCGTGCCCATCTGCATCGCCGCGTAGTTGGCTGTTTGGCGGGGGGAGGAAGAAGGGGGGAGTGCGACCGTTAGCGCGGCCTTCGCCAGGGTTGTCCGGTCCGGGGCGGCGGCGACTCACTTTGTCTGTGGTCCTCCCACATGGCGATGATCTCGTCGACGACCTCGACCGAGGCATGGCGGCGGCGCTGCGACTCCCGGATCTTGTCCGGGTTGCCGCCCCGCTCCAAGATGAAGTCGGTCGCGTCGAGAACCATTTTTGCTGCCCAATTGACTGGTGTTTGGTTCTTTGCGTCGGCTTGTCTTGTCGACTGACGCGCTGGTTGAGGAGAGAGTGATTGGCGCCCGTTGCGTGGTGGAGGAGGAGGGGCAGGCAGCGTCACTCAAATATTTTGGCGGGGTAGAGCTGCCCCTGGTCGCGACGCCAAAAAAAGGGGGCGACTCACAAAGACAGAGTCACGCCGATATCAGACAGGTTCGGGTCGGACAGTTGCTCACCCCAGACACCTGAACCAGATAGCCCCTAGGATTGCGCTACCACGAAGCCCCAAGCATCATCTTCCTAGACATACTTGAAATTATGAGTACGCACGGATATTCTGGCAGCACACCCTATGTGCACCAACAGCAGGATACGTACCCCTCCTCATATTTACCCGCGGAAACTCGAGCCTGGAAGCAACCGAGATTCCCGCCTGCACTCTGGTGCCTTACCATTCCGTCCTGCGACTGGGACAGCGGCTGTGAGACGATAGGAAAGCCTTCGCCCGAATGTTTACGGTAGACCAACAGAAAATAAAAAGAGACGAAAAAGAAACGGGGCAAGAGAAAAATACGAAAAAAGAAGCCAGCGAGGAACGCCTGCAATAATAACATCAACAATACCCGTCCACCATACCAGTCATAACAATTCCTCCATGCCGGTGCCCAATACGCATATCCCAGCTGCCTAGCCTATGATATGTTTAGATCTGGGCCACCAAGCACGCCCTCAGTGGCATAAAACAGTTTGTCTTGGTGCAGTGTGCCATAGACTCGGACACACGCCAGCCTACCCCCTTGTACTGAACAAAGGGGTCGGAACATACAACGTAACTCGGGCGTCGGCAAGGGCGTTCGAGAGAAGGGGGATAGGGAGTCAACGCTAAAAGCACCGCATCTCCTCCAACTTCCTCCGTCTACCCATCCGATTCGAAATTCTCCACAACCCCGACAGTCGTCTCGGCTGTCAGGGACCTTCACTTGCGCCTCACATGACGTGGCAGCTTTTGGTGCCACTCACGGCTTCGCTCCCGGTGGGCGTATTCTCGATGCGCGAGATCATCAGCTCAAAGGCCTTGGCCACATTCTCGTTGTAGCGAGCGCTGGCCTCCGTATAGCCGCACTTGAGTTCGTTGGCAAGCGCCTGTCCGTCGGCAGGGCTGACCTGGCGCTGCTCCGGCCTCAAGTCGCTCTTGTTTCCCACGATGACGATGGGAACGTCGTTTTCGCTCACACCCTGTTGTTTGTCGTCCGTCTCCCCCACGCACGTGGGAAGAGGGCGACGATTAGCCTGCTGGGCTGGGATAGAAGACGGTCGGACCTTGACACGGCAACGCCGCCAGTAGGGGCTCGGGTCGAACCGGGGTGCCCGGGGAAGAGAGCTATACTGACCAGGTGGTGAATGATCTTGTCCCGGATGGTCCTCACCATCTCAAAGGATGTTAGAGACGAGACCGAGTAGACAATCATGTAGCCGTGGATGCCGATGAAGTGCTTGGAGTTCAGAATGCTGTACTCGTCCTGGCCAGCAGTGTCGACGATCTCGGTCATGAAGTCCTGCCCCTTGAACCTGATCTCTTTACTAAAGGTGTTTTCGATGGTGGGATAGTAGCTCTCGACGAAATGACCGTCGACAAATTGGACCGCTAGCGAGGATTTGCCTGTTCCGCAATGGGAGGTCGGGAGGATAGTGCGCAATCAGCATGTTGCTCGTCGTTCACGTGGCATACCGCCACCTGCCCGAGAGACTCAACGGCACCATGCCCGCTCCGGTTCAGCATTATTTCCCTTCCCTCCCCGAGTATTCGAGCACCGTTTTGTCCGACGCTGGCCTGACCGGGGCCACCTCCACCAGGAGCGGACTTGGGGAATGGCGGGGCGCAGCACTCACCCACCGAGCGACTCCCAACAATCGCAATCTTCCTTTGTTTGGTCGGCATCTTTGCCGTTGTATTGCCGCGCGGGAGTGGTGGGGGGCGCGAGGATCGGTTTGGTAGGTTGGGTCTCCCAATGCTCCTGGCCTGGGTTCGCTTGTGTGTGATTGGAGCAGAAGCCTGGGCTTCGATCAGGTCCAATCGAGCTGAGCGAGGTTTTGTGATTTGGGCAGGTGGTGGTGGTGGGCGACGAGATGCGGTCAGCTGAGGGGAGGCGAAAGGCGCTGCCCGTCGCGAAGGAAGCTCTAGTCGCTGGGGAAGAAGCACAGGTTCCGACCTCGGCTCTCGACTGTTCGTCAGGGGACAGGTTGAGCCCGTACTTTGACGATTTCGCGCTGCTGGCTAAGGCTGCAGGTTGTACCGAAGCATAGGATAAATAGCAAAGACGCAGCAACTTTGGGAACAAATGAAGAGGGAGCAAGAACAGAAAGCCAAAAAAACAAAAACAAAAAAAAAGAGTTGCAAACACGACCCCTTAAGCTTGTGGAGTGAGCTGGGTGGGCGCGCCGCCTGCGGGAGTTACACCTTCGATTGAGGAAGCCCGTCGCCCGTCGGGTCTCTGCCCGTGCTAGGTCCCGCCTGTGAAGCACAGGGGTGCGGGCGGGCAGGGAGAACCCCATTAGCTAAAGCGCGCGTGGTGGGTGGACCTGCTCTGCGGGCAGCTTCGGTGCTTCACTCCCACCGCCCCATAGAATGCAAGGTAAGCTTGGGATTGACTGCCGTCTGGTGCAGGGAGTCGAGGACGAGAGCCTGGAAGCAAAAGCAAAAAGCAAACACAGACGGCTGCAGTGGAGGGTACTGCGCCCGCCGCCGCCGCTGCCAAACAATAGACACACTTTTGTTAGCCGTGGCACATGAAAATCGCCAAAAGGTTTGCGGCTCCGGCCGGCGCTGCAACATTTCCTCCTGCCAAAACCGAACGGGTGGAGGGTGCCAACCAGCCAGACCTTTCTGGAACACACACGCATCCCATCCACCCCTCCACTTAACCACTGGAATTGATTGCATCATGGATGGAACCCTCCCCCTCTCGGCCATGTTGCCTCCGACCGCGCCGGGGAAGCACTCGGACACGCCCCGATGTGGCACCCCATGTCACCTCAACCATAGCTTCCGTCCGTCGAGGCAGGATCGGTTATTGTGTCAGTTTAATACTCTCTTCCTTCGTCTAGATAGAAAGCCTTTAACCGATTTTCCACCTGCCAGTGAGGCATATGCATTTTATCTTGGTCAAGCCCTGACAAATTACCATAGAGTCAAAGCACACCACTTACATGTACCTACCGTGCCTACATAAGCTGGTGTCCAAGCCGGGCCCGTCTGTGTGTGACGGCGCATGCAGCGCAGGCGACATGCGTGCAAGCCGATTCGACATCGGACAGCTCACGGCCCACAGGCTGCATCTGCTTTGCTTACGGGACGGTTCCGAAGCGGCGATGCGTACCACCAGCAGTGTATCATTCGTGTTTACTCGTCCTTTTCCTGCCTTTCGAACCCATCTCCCCGCCCACGCCATCAACCGGTCCCCACGAGGAGTACGGTGTCCTCTCTATCGAGGAGCCGCCCCTAACCACCCCTCAACCCTCCAAAAGATATGCGTATGTACATTGCGTAGCTGTAAAGATAGACTGTGATATGTGAAAAACGCCGCTGCTAAGATGTCCATACGTCTATGCAACAGGGTAGGAATCCTACTTGCCCGAGAAAGCAGTTTAAGAAGTGGACGAAGAAGGGAAAGTAAAAGTTCCAAATATGGCGAGGCAGGAGGCTTGAAGAGTGAAAGCATCGCGAATGGGCCAAGGATGTGTCGATAAGATGTGGTAATAATAGACAGTAATAGTAATCATCCGAGTCGATCCTTCATCAGCAGGTTCAAAGGGCAATGTCTCCAAGGGGGTCTATCGTGACACAGCATTTTGCCTCTGCCAGCCAGTCAATGAAATCAACCGGTCCAGTCTCGACCGTGAACTTGCGAGCTGATTCGTCGCCATGGGGAAAGAATCATAAAATATCACTCTCTCGCTGTAGTGATCATCGTAGTCGTTATCGTCACCGTCGCAAGCGTGCCAGCCGGTCGGCCAAGGCCCGCAGCCGGCGAGAGCTGCCACCGTTGCCGTCCTCGGCCCCGGTTGATTCGGCAGCTGCAGCCTCGTTCTTCTCGTGAAGCACGGCAAACTCTTGGATCGAGTTCATAAGCGGCTCCAGGCCGCTGCCAGGGTTGAGCGCCTCGAATCTCTTCCTGATGGGGTCGTAGTGGCAAAGGTACCCGAGAAGCACCGACAGATAGCCAAAGGCCACGTTGATATGCGTTTTCTCCTCCGAGTCGGCCTGCATCAAGAAAACAAAAACCGGTCAGTTACGGCGTGCTTCACACAATACTATCACCCTAAAGCATCCCTGTCGTCTCACTCACCTCTGCTGTCCTGGAGCGATAGCGCAGAAAGAAGTCAGTGAACCGGTCCAGCGCCTCGGACCCGTCAAGGGTCCGCCCGGCAGACTCTCCGTGCTCGGAAAGGTTGATCATGACGCCGAGGATCAGAACCAGAGCTTCAAGGACGGTCCGGACGAACGAGCCCGCGGCAAGAGCCTGCATCACCTCATCGAAGGCACTGCAAGCCCCACGGGCTAGCTCAAGAAGGATGCTCTTCTCCAAGAACAGGCTGAGCGCCGCCTGGTTGTTGTTTGCCGTGTTGAGCGTGAGCTTCAGCACTAGCATCTCCAGCTCGCCCAGCTGCTCTGGTCTGTGTGTCATTGACGTCTCCAGGATCCTGGCAACAACCGGCAGGTGTTTCTTGTTCCATACCGCCCCGGCGCTTGTCTGCATGGCAAAAACGGAGTACTTATGCAGCAGAGAGAGCGCCAGGAACAAGTCCAGCGACTCTGGTTGCTTGGGGAAGTCCCAGCTCTGGGAAGTCCGGTTCTCTGCAGCAGATTCCAAGCAGCCAAAGACCTTGGCCGTGACCGAGGTGGAGAAAAGGTCACCCAGGTCCTCCACCATGGATTGCTGCATTATCAGATGTAGGCACTTGAGCGCCAGCGTTCGTGGGGGCAACACTATGAGTTGGGCGCCGTCCCATATTTTCAGCTGGAGCAAGCAGGACTTGACGCCAGCCAGGTCTCTCTGCGCAAACTTGGACATGTTACTCTTTCTTTCCTTTGCAAGCACGGCAATATCCGTGTCCAGGGAGAGGAGGAGGTCGATGAGTTGTGCCAGGTCCTCAAAGGGGAGCTGCCGTGTGAGGTTGGAGGAGGTGGCCGATTCCAGAAAGATGAGTAGGACGGCGGCCATCAGATAGCCCGCGATAGGGTCGGTCTCGCCGCCAATGCCTTTGAGGAGGGTGGGCGTGGCATTGTGATGATCCGAGAATTGGCGCCGGAAGGTCTTTTGCTGAGATTTTTGCGCCATCTCGAGCAGCGCATCCCTCCGGCCAGCAGAAGGCTTCGCTGTAGGCACGCCGACCCTGTCCAGGATATCGTTCATCTCATCAGTGGTTCTGTTATTCGCACCGGCCTTTCGTAGCTCGTGTAGGCTCCTGACGGCGCCCGACGTGGAGGCGTCCTCAACAAGCCCGTCATCAAAGTCGAAGGCACTGTCTTTCGCCAGACTGGGTACCTCCAGAAGCGGCTGTGACAGCGCCATCTCCTCGGCCTTGTCAGAGTCGAGACCGCTCATGAAATCATCAGCAAGCATTGTGCGCTGTTGGCTGTAGGTGTACTTCAGCCCTGGCTTCCGAGGCATCGAGACCTGGCGTGCGAATGTTCGTGGCCTCGGCGTCTCACTCGCCGGCGTGGAGCCGTAGCCAGAGCCTCCCATGTCGTTTGGGGTTTCGATGCCTTGGGGACAACTGGATGCCGGTGTCTGCTCGACATCAGACTCGTCCTCAGACTCAGAGGAGGATGACGATGACGACGGGCTCTGTTCGGCCTGCGCAGTCAAGGCGTCTATAAGTCGTGGCCTCCGCTTGACAGGCGGGACTTTTGTGCCTTGCTCGCCATCCGAAGGAGCAAGCTTGCGCCGTGTAGGAAGCATCGCCGTCGGCCTGTCGGTGGAAGCAACCCTGGCCACTGAGACCTTCGGAGGAGGAACAGCATCGGTTGCAGGCGGAGGCTCAACCTGCATCTTCTCTGGACTCCTCCTCCGCGTTACCACTTCCTTGGCAATAGCCTCTTGGACAACAAGCGGCTGGGACCTCTTTTCAGGGCTGGACCTTCGCATCGGGCCATCTTTCATCCTATCCATAGATTCCTCGGCAGCGACAGGCTCAGGCGCACCAGATACCGCGATGGGCGGTTCGGTTGGAGGAGGCTTCAGTTTTCGGGGAGGTCGAACAGGCACTGACTTCCGCGGAGTTTTGGCGGGGGCCGCCGTGATGACCGGGGTCGGGGCGGAGCTGCTGCTGACTCCGGGAGGAGAGAGACGGGCGGGGCGCTTCTTGGTGCCGAGCGGTGCGGTCTTTTCCCTCGTCGCCTTCGGTCGTTCATCCTCGAGGTCACCCGGGAAGGCGTATGGGTCGGGACTGGACGAGCGCTGCTTCTTGGGCAGACGCGCCACAGGCTGCTGCGTAGACTTCCGCTTCATAGGCAGTTTGGGGTCCTGTGCCATTTTTGCGGTTTCTGTTTCCTTTCCGGCGCCCACGACAAAGCCGGAGCTCGATAGTTTCGCTTGCACACCCGATGCGTTCTTTCGCGCAGTCTCTTGACTCTTCTCGGTCTCCTTGGATTGAGCTGAAGATGCGGTTCGCGCGGGCGCATTCCGGTCGTGGGTTCTCGGTTTCGTATTTTCTGGTTGGCTGGCAGCTGTATCTCTAGATGAACTTGCCGCGGACTCGGCCGCGCTCGAGAGGCCGTTCCGAGGCTTGTTCCTGCCATAAGTTGCAGCAGCCCTCCGTTTGGGCGCCACCCCAACCTCGGCGCCGGCTGACATCATCTTTATTGTTCCGGGGCCTCCCCTCAGCGACTAGGTGAAGAAGGAATGCAATGTCGGTGTGGCGCTCGTGGTCTCGCTGGATCTCGATTCAGCTGTGAGATAGGAGTCGATACGGCGCAATGCGGAGCTATCGCGGGGGTATTTTCGAGGGCCACGCGCAGTGGTCACGGTCGTGCCGGAAGCTCGCGGCCGTTGTTGGTTCAGACGCGATGAAGGATCCAAGAAGGCGGCGCGTGTGATTGGCGGTGCTGTAATCAAAGAAGTCGGGTTGCGGCGAAAGGGGGAAGCGTCGGGCGTTGGGAGGTAGCGATGGAGCCAGGTGTGATGAGCGGTAGCGGGTTTGTGATGTGAAGCGCAAGATTCTTGGCAGAATGGCATCCGGTCAGTGTTGAATGCACATGTCGCCGTCGCCGTTGAGGGCGTTGTTGCTTGTTTCGGCCGGATGTGGACTGTCGTTCCTGTGCCGGTGGTGTGTCCAGAAACGGATCAGCTCAGCCCTCCAACCCAGCCTTCCAGCACCACCACCAGCCCGCCCCACAGAAGCCACAAGCCCCGCCGAGGTACTCTCCAGAGGCCGAGTCAATTGGAGTGGGCAACTTCATAGGGAAGGGGCCAGGGTGCTGGAAACATGAATATCACTCGCTCCCAACAGTCACGAAAACAGCAGACAAGTGAGGGATATCCCTACCTCGATAGGCGCCTAGAGGTACTCAATGGCAGCTGTTTGCAGAGAACCAACTGCATCCAGTAGCACCCCCTGGGCCTGCAGTGCCCTGCATGATGGCCGAGATCTGTTCTCGTTCTGGTTGGATGGCTGTCCGGCGCAGGACCCCGTTCCCGGCCTTGGTTGACTTTGGTTGATGGAGCCAGGCCGTTCAATCACGGTGCAAGGAGGGCCGGCCGTCGAGCACACACCTACCACGCCTCCGGCTCCCACCATGCGAACTGGGGTTGTTTAGCTTTGCGCAGAATCGGGCTGACTGCAATTCCAATACCGGGGGCGCATATCGGGCGGCCGCCACGACACGCAAATGCGGGGCGTCGTCCAGACCTTCCACCTACGTGCGCCTGTGCCCGCCACCTGCGATAGGGCGCTCCAGTCGACGGCCCATGTCGGATGGAGGGAGGGAAATAAATTCAAGCTCTCAGCTTTGTAGACCAGCCGCCCTGTCGCGTGCCTTCCGATCTGTAGTCTTCTTTTGTGCCCATCGACCAAGTCCGTTCCCTCTTTGCATCACGAGGCCCATTCTTCTACAGTATTCCCATTCCTATTATTATATCCGCTCCATTCTCCACCCCGCACAGTTCAACCTGGATAGTACTCCCGCCTTTTTCTTCCTTCTCCCGCCAGACTGCTTCCCGCTTCCCTGTGCTCCTATCCGCAGCGCGCCCAGCCCACCACCATGCCGCCAGCCGAGCCGCCCACGCAGTGTGTAGGACCCGGCTACCAGCCGGAAAGCCAGAAGCCGACGGCCACCGTGTCGACGGGCGTCAAATTCGAGAATGTCACCATCCTACCGCAGACCCCGCAGCTCATCGCCCTGCTCACGTGCGTCGTTTCCCCTTTTCTCGGTCCCGTCCCGGCTGCTGCAAGGAGCTGGATGCTGACGCGGGAGACGGGGAGGGCCGGGTGAGAGGAAATACAGCATCATCCGCGATAAGAAGACGGACCGAGGAGACTTCATCTTCTACTCAAACAGGATTATTCGTCTGCTTGTGGAGGAGGGCCTAAACCACCTGCCCACGGTCGAGCACACCGTCACCACCCCCGTCGGTCGCTCCTACGCCGGCCTCATGTTCCAGGGTAAGATCTGTGGCGTCTCCATCATGAGGGCCGGCGAGGCCATGGAGCAGGGCCTCCGGGACTGTTGCCGCTCCGTTAGGATCGGCAAGATCCTCATCCAGCGCGACGAGGAGACGGCCACGCCCAAGCTCTTCTACGACAAGCTCCCCGAAGACATTGCGAGCCGATGGGTGCTGCTTCTGGACCCCATGTTCGCTACAGGTCGGTCCACATCAAACACCCCCTCCCCCTCTCGCCTGGAGCGTAGATCTCAGGCAGGCATCGGCGGGCACCCGGAGCAAACTCGGCTCACACGGCGAGGGAAACACTTGTTTAGGCGGCTCCGCGATAATGGCTGTCGACGTTCTCAAGTCCCGCGGCGTCCCTGAGGAGAGGATTCTATTTTTGAATCTGATTGCGAGCCCCGAGGGCATCGAGAACTTTGCGACCAAGTTCCCCAGCGTCAGGGTTGTGACGGCCTTTGTTGACCAGGGGCTGGACGAGAAAAAGTCCGTCGTCCCCTTCGTTGCCTCAAACACCCCCGTCCCGCTCCCGTCGGCCGCTGTAGCACGCAACGCTAGAAATGCAAAACTGACGGGAACCCCCCACTCTACCGCTGCAGCTATATCATCCCTGGCCTCGGCGACTTTGGCGACAGGTTTTATACAATGTGACGGAGGAGAATCCTGGCGTCACCGGGTGGCATCCGCCCTTCCTTTCCAAAGGCGAGACCCGTCTCGTCCAGCAGTAGCTGTCAACCAATCCTTAATTACCGTTGCACGCTTGACGAGGACGAAACGGGCAGTGTATGTGGGCGGCTGTAGATTGATCGTTTGCGCGGGAAGCGTGTGGTGTGAGTCGCCATCTTCTCAACCCAGTGTAGCTCGCTTCGAGTCGGCAGCCCCCCATGATAGCAAGGGGAGGCAAAGAGGGCGCGCGTGATTCCTCAGTCGTACTCGTCATCATCGGCCACGATGCCATCTCCCGTATATCTGTTCCTGTCGTCGCCATCGTCGTCTACGTACTTGCTCGCCGCTGGCTTGGGGCGGCTGGAGCTGGCGCCGGCGCCTCGGGAATCGGGGTTGGCACCTTGCGCGACGGCATCGGCGGCATCAACCCACTCCCCGTATACATCCACTGCGGCGGATAGATCTGGATTGCACGAGCACGTCAGCGCACGGAAATAACGTCGGCGCCAAAAGACGATGGGACGGACACTGCGTGGGGAGGGAAAACGTACAGTTGATGCCACATTGGAATCTCTGGCCGCAGATCTTGCACTCCAGTTGGCCTATGCCCAGCTTCTTATCGAGCTTGACGTCAACCGACTTCTCATGGTTGCAAAAGAGACAAGTGAAGGATGTCGGGAGAGGGTCTCTCTGTGCGCGGACGCGTGCAAGGTCAGGGTTAGCCGCGGGCGGTCCAGGGGACACGTAGGTTGTGCATGCAAGGCTTTGGTGCTGCGTCGGCGCGCAAGCGCCCCAAGACCCGACCGCGGCGCATCTGGGATTTGCGGCTCACCTTCTTCTTCGCCTGCGGCTTGCTGGAGCTCTTGCGCTTGCCCATGTTGGATTGTAAATGCCGTTTGCTGGGTTGGAGGGAGTGGAAGCGCACTGGGTTTTTTGTATCTGGGTCTCCTGTATAGGACGTAACACTTGCTGGCCCGTATGGAGAATATTAAAATGTCGGTTGACGATAAGATGGCAAGGGCTGCTCTGCGCAATGAAGGCGATGCGGCCGTTCGGTCGCGAGTCGTTGTCGAGCGCAAACGGACGAGATGGAGGGCCTGGCAGGCTGTGCAGATAAGAGGCAGGGCTCTCGAAACGCTGCAAATCTATTCGCTGGAGCGAAGCCCTGTGCGCCGTGCAGTCGGAGCTCTGGGTCCATCACACGTCCACGGCTGACGTTGGCGGGGCAGGACGCGAGGTACCTTTCACCGCACACCGACAGCCTACAGGTACCCGTCGACAGGTGCCGTGTGCCCACAGCCCGCTAGACTGGATTCAATTGCATACCGAAGCCCGGAACCAGCGAAAGAAGGGAACATATGATACAGGCAAGCCCGCTTAATTCAGATAGCCTGCGTGCATGCCCCAATATTGGATTCTACAAGGCTTGATCGGCATCCAGACTCATCACAAAGCCAGACAGTGGGGAATGCGCTTCAGCCCAGGCGCACTCCGTCAGTCTGCACCGTCTCAATTCATTCCAACAGTGCCAACTTCCATCCCGTGTTACCCCATATTTTGGCCTGCAAAGACCATCCATAGCACTCCACCTCCGCTATCTCGCCCCCCGCCGACGTGCCTCTATGCTGCTTGATAAGCCTTGGCTGGGCCGACAGACGGATGCTCCGGCAGGCTCCCGGCGGGCAGCACCGGGTCCCAGCGTCTGGCGTCACTCCTGTTGGGGACGCGGTGAGGGACGGGAGCTGCCTGGTGGCGGCCACTTGCACCAGGCTTGACTGCAGGGTTAGATCCCAACACAAAGGGCTACTAGGCACGGCCCCCCGACGAGGAGCAGTCACATGGACAGTAAATTCTGGCTGGCTTCCCGCATGCCCGCCTTTGTTTGGTGTTTTCTGAGTGCCCGAAGCGGCGGTGGACAAGCCCGAACTGTGCGAGCACGCGGGCTCCGCATCGGCGCTGTCGTGGCTGGCAGACGGTTGGTGGCCCTTATCCGTTAGTCATGGTAGCCGTCTTGCGCAAGCGCCTAAGCCCAACGAAGGGTAGAAGACAGAGAGCCCTTCTGCCTCCCACCGCTCCTGTGCGTGTCAACTTGGGTTGCTAGCAAATCGAATTCCAACTGAAACACAGCACCGACTGTCAGCCAACCCGGCCCCTCAAAGCCCCCCCCTCCCACTCCCCAATAAGCTTCCACGTCCCTCGCATTGGCTGGCCAGCTGCAAGCAGCTCCGTCTCCACAGTCCGCATTGCCTAGAACCCCCTCGTCGTCCCGCGTGACAGCTTGTGATATCGGGTATCAACAACGCTCTCCTTGACTTCAGCATCTCTACCTGATACCTACCCACAGAAGAAGCTCTGTTTACCTTTGTATCCACGTATTCCTTCATCATTCCTAGCTCTGCCGAAGCAGCCGCTTCGCCAACAACAATACCAACATGGCCGCCGATGGTTCGGCCTCCGGTGCCGGCATGGACCAGGTGATGGAGGTCCTCAAGCAGATGCAGGAGGACCAGGCCCGCCTGCTCGCCGCCATCGAGCTGGGCGACCGCACTGCCCTGCTATCAAAGGGGGCCGACAAGAGCCTCTCGGCCAGCCCGCCCGGCCCGTCCGGCCTCGCCCAGACCCCGCCGCTGCTGGCCGCCGACGCCGCCACGGAGCGTGACGCCGGCTCTTCCTCGAGCCCCAAGTCCTCCTTCACGTCGCGCATCATCCTGACGTGAGCTTGTGTGCCCTGGTTGATCCCGTGTATGCAAGCCGTAGGCTCACGATTTCCACTTCTCCTTGACAGCACGTACCCTAAGCAGATTGGCATCAACCCCATTCCTATGAACTGGGGAGCCGGCGATGCCGCCAAGAGAGGCCCAATCGTGGTGTCCAGGAGCTCAAGCACCATCCGGAGACGTAATGGTATGTCTGCTGTCACAGTAACCCCCATCTTCTCGCCCAATTGGATCGTGATAGCCGCTAACTCGTAGAATAGCCATCGGAGGTACACAATCACCCAAAAGCTCAGGCGTGATGGCTGCTGGTTGGAGGATTGCTAACATGAGATAACCCGCTTTGAAACACAAAAGCCCATGGTGGTGGATATGCCATCTATTACGCCCTGGCTCTTGCGAGCAAGGAGCTCAAGACCGATCACAGGTTTGTCAATCCGTGTCTTCCTCCTTGAACGACAAGCCCCTGGGCTTCTTCACACAGTCAAGGCTAACAAGCAACTGGCAGGCCCGACTTCACCAACACAGAGCCGGCGGCTGAAATCGGCCCCTTTCCTCAGTGGGGCGATCCGAAGAAGATTGTGGCCATGGACCCTTGGGGGCATCTTGCTCCGTTTCTGTTCATGGATGTTATCGCAAACGAAAATGGTACGATAACCGCCTTCCTGCACGTGCGATATTTCGACCGCTGACCATGTGTCTGGGACGTCCAGTCGATATCCGCCCGACTATCGCCATCACCAAGGCCCACATGAAGGTATGCTTGCTCGAACGTAAGACATCCTATATGTTCATATAAGTTAGCTGACAATGTGCGATGACCATGCGATACACAGCTTCCTGAGCTGGAAGAGAGCGTTCGTAGTGGAAGACTGTAAGGCATTCACCGACTGGGCTAGAGGCACCACAAGCACTACTAACCTCCATGTGTTCTGTTCTAGAGTCCCAGACGGCAAAGTATGCCTCAACGCGGAAGGCGAGCTTGCTGTCACTAAGTTCGCTGTCGAACCTGTAAGTTGTGTTGAACGGACAATCCATCAATGGCAACAAAGCGACCGTACCCGGACTTTGCCTCCTAACGCAGCTCATTTCTAGGTCTGGTACCTCCCAGGAGTTGCAGAGCGATTTGGAATTGGTATGTTTTGTGGCCATGTAGTGGTGCCATCTACAGGGTCGACCGCAGCTGACATGACGTAGACGAGGGCACCCTGAGGCGCTCGCTGTTCGAGCACACGGGCGGAAGCTACCCAGAGGCAAGTATCGGAAATCGTTTCCAAGAGATTCACAAGCTCAGGCTGATAGCAATCATTGAACGACACTGACCGAAAACACTTTCCAGCTGATCACCCGTGGGGATATCAAGCTCTTTCTTCCGCCTATCGGTAAGTGCACACGTACAGAGCCCCGCACCTACCACTTTCGGCATCAGTCTAACAGCTCCCTCGTTCCGTCTCAGGCGGCCTCACTGTGTATTGCTTTGGCGACCCTGCCAAAATGTCCGACCCGAATTCCCGGCTAGCACTCCGAATCCACGACGAGGTGAGGAACAAGCATTGCCCTCTCTCATGAAGATCGCGGCGCTTTAGATGCGGAGAAACAAATAGTCTGACCCGGAGTTTGGGGAACCACCCGTGCGCAGTGCAACGGTAGCGATGTCTTTGGGTCCGACATCTGCACTTGCCGGCCGTATCTCATCTTCGGCATCGAGGAGGCGGTTAAGGAGGCCCAAAACGGCGGCAGCGGTGTCGTCATCTACTTCCGCAAAGAGGGTACGCAGAAACGGTCCATCATGATTCGAGAGTAGCCACGGGCTCGGCGACGCTGACACGAACAACCAATACTACCTCAGGACGAGCATTGGGAGAGGTCACCAAGGTACGTGCGCGGCGGCGGCGGTCTTTCCCGCTTATGGTATCTCCTTGAAACTCGGAGTTCGTACTGACAAGGACGCAACCCCCTCTTAGTACCGTATGTTGCACATGACCTTGTCCTCCATTATTTCTGCGAAACAAACTCCGGCTTCCCGACTGAGGAGCGATCTGGCGGAAGCCGGGCTGGCTTGAGTCGAAAGTATTCCCGTAAGAAAGATGGCCGCTGACTGAGTGCTCCCTCGACAGTTGTCTACAATGCGCGGAAGCGCGGCGAAGACCGGGCGTCGGACTACTTTAAGCGCACCGAGAACGTAGCCGGTGTGAAGGACATGCGATTCCAGGCGCTGATGCCTGACATCCTCCACTGGCTCGGCATCGCCAAGATCGACAGGATGCTCAGCATGAGCAAGTACGTCGTATTACGGCAGTGCCTCCCACCCCGGCGCTGACTGTATTTGTGTCCCTGCGTGACTGCGTGCCTGTGCTTGTGTCTATGTCTGTGTCTGCTCGGGTGGCTGGCCGGCGGGACGGGCAGATGCTAACGTTCGGGATTTACACAGCATGAAACACGATGCCATCGTGGGCCAAGGGTGAGTGAATGCGGAGGCCAGCCTTTACATCGCCGATCCCCCTCTTTGCTCAACCCGAACCCGGTGTGCTGACGGATGTTGGTGTAGGATACCGATCCACGAGCGCGTCGAGCTGCCGGAATCATGGATCCCCGCCGACTCTCGTGTCGAGATTGATGCGAAGATCAACGCCGGTACGACAGAGGCCTTTCCGTCGCACCCCCTCTTAAGGCTTCGTTTCTCTGTCTCTAACACGAGTCTCTGTTCAAGGTTACTTTACCACCGGCCACCGCATGACGGAGTCTGAGCTCCAGTCGGTCCAGGGCAGGCTCTGGGAAGAGTGAGTGTCCAACCTATTAACTGCCAGGGCGTGCGGCGAAGGGGTGCGGCGAATCAAACGTCTCGAGGCTGACCATGTGCAACAGCATCGACCACTGATCGTGTGGAGACAGCAAAGCAGAGGGGGAGGAAGGGGCAGGAGGAACGATTCCCCGAGCGGACAAATCGGTTCCTTGATCTCCGAGAGGTTCAATGTCCTTGGCCCACGGCCTCTCCCATCGGGAGAGCTGTCGGCCTTGGTGTTCCGGCTGTTTGATGGTACCGGTCAGACGGACAGATGACTCCCCCCTTCCACCACTGGAGATGTCAAGGCAGCAACCAAGCTATCTCCACCCAATGTAAGGCCGGCACACGGACAAGCGACCAGGTCGGTGCAGCACGTTTTGCGACCAAAGAAAGGAACAACACATAATACAGACAGCATGTTTGCCCTCACCGGTCTCAGGTCCTGTGAGCGATTTGGACCGGACAAGGGCAAGGAGGTTGCGGGGTTTTGTGTGGCGCGTCCCAACGAGATAGACAAAGAGAGAGAGAGAGAGTACAGGTTACCTAGTATTGATCGATTGCGCTTTCGTCACACCAAACTTTCCCCGATTTATCAGCTCTCACTTCGATCTTGCCCCTTTCTCGTTCCATCCGTCTTTCCTCTTGGGGGGTGGCCGTTCGGGGCTGTTGTTCCCGTGGGCCCCTTTTTTTCCGCCCGAGCCGCCCTTCCCGTTCCATCCATGCCCCTCGAGTCAATCTCGCAGGAGCAAGCCAGAAAAGCGGCTCGCTGCGAAATCTTGTCCGACTTGCCAGTTCACTCCCTCCCTCCCCACCTGATTGATGTGCGCGCGTGTGTTGTGTTGTGTTGTGTTGTGTGCGTGCGTGCCCTACAGTAGGGCTCTCGCTCGCTTGAAGTGGATAGGTCATTGAGCAATCGGCAGGTTGGCAGCATCCAGACATGGCCAGACAAGGAGCACAGAGGCGTATGGTACATGCACAAGGAATTGCATTACCGACACATTGGGCAGGAGAGGAGGAGGCCTGCGTGCCTGCCGAGGGGGGGATGGGGAGACGTGTGATGCCAATGAGCAGTCGACAAAAAACGACGCTGCACCCGACTTTGACCGACCGACCAACCGGCCGGGCTGTGTGTATGTGTGTGTGCGTGGTAGTGGCCTGCCGCGGCGGCACCCCCGCAGCCACGCAGCCAAGCTACATCCACTCTACATGTACTTGCGTACGCGCGCTCACGCATGCGCAGGCTGGCGCATTACATGAAGCGTTGCTGTCCGATGAGGTCAAAAGAATAGGTAGAGACCAGGGAGGAAAAAAAAAGAAAAAAGAAAGAAGAAAGAAAAAAAAAGCCCTCGTCACACGGGCTTTCGAGGTGCAGGAACCCACCTCGGCCGCCTATCGTCTTTTCTCTCCGGCTGTGATTTCTCGCTTCTCGCCTCTCCCTTGCCTCCTGCCCGTGTGCGCCGCCCACGTTGCTGCTGTTGTTTTGCGCCTTTTTTTTTTTTTTACCTTCTTTCTTTTTTTTGGTGGTGTTTGTTGTCCCCCCCTCCACCAGCGGCCCGACGCAACGACAACGAGGCCCTACCTGCCTGCCCGTCCTGCAGGTCTCTGCTACAAGTAACAAAAAAGCAGGGCAGGGCGGGGAGGTAAGGGCGAGTGAGCGGACGGGTTGCCATTCCGGCCGCTGGATCCGCGGTGCGATGGAGCTAGGGGATTTGGGCTTTATCCGTCCGGTTAGGTTCGGGCTAGGCTTGTCTGGGCTGGAGCGCATCTCCTCTTTGCTTGCCCTCTCCTAACAGGAGTACGTTTTTCCATGGAATGGGCTCACTGGTCGCCCAAGGAGGAAAAAAAAAAAGAAAAAAAAAAAGGCAATTTCAGAGTTGGTGGGTTGGGAACGCACCAGAGAGGGCAGACCCCAAGACGCGCAAACATGGGTTCAGGGGAGTCATCACGACCCAATTGCGTGGCAAGCTCTCATTGTCTTCCCACTGTCCCACGTCCGTCTTTGCTGAGTGAGACTAGGGTCAAAACGTGCCGCCTCGGGCTCGGCAGTGGTCATAAATCACACCAGCCTAATCGGGCAATTCGAGGCAGCCTGGATGAGCCGAGACTCGAGCAAAGAGAGATTGGGGAGACAGGGAGGGAGGCCAGAACAACACAAGACACAGATAGAGATACGATGGGGGAAACAGATAGCTCCTCGGCAGCCGCGCGGGGGAACCGTTGATCTCTTTCCCGAATCGAGCTGTGATGGCTGCTGTCAGCAGAGACGACTGACCTCGAGGAGCCGGGCGAGACCACCCCCGCCTCGCTGCGACGGCCACCACGCCAACCGGCCCAACCAGACAGGCGATTGACCAAGAAGCAGAAGCCCACGTTGCACGTCGGGTTGCCGGATTGCTGCCAAAGCTGTGTGGCTCGGTAGGTCAAATAAAAACAAGACAAAAACAAATAAACCCGCCCAAGGCAAAATGCCGCACACGAGCCTTATCAGGAGAGGGCAAGAGAGCCGCCCGTGAGCAATAAAGAGACAAATTCCGAGTGATCCCGAGCGAATTAATCCTCCATCGCGTGGTCCCGGACTTCATTCACCCCACGTACAGATCCCACCCCCTCGCTCCATGGGCCGACATTGGGAAGAATTGACTCAATGGACGAGGAGGTCGACTCGTTCTCAACACGCAGGCGCAAGCCCCCGCGCGCGCCAACAGGAGGAGTAGGAGGAGGCGCTGGTCCAGGCCGAATCAGAACCAATTGGGCGGGGTGGGAGCGATGAGGTGTGTGGCTGCGCTTTAGGCTTTCGGCTGCATTTGCCTTTGCGAGTGGGAAGCGCTGCATGCTCTTTCAAAACAGCGGCGTCATCCGCGGGGCCACAGCACGCCAGCAAAACAGCAGCCGAGAGGAGCTCCCAAGCTCCCATCGAATGCTCCCCAACCAAACCCGGAGAAAAAAAGAAAAAAAAAAGAAGTTTCCCCCCTTACTCGGACCCTAGCACCGGATGGTGGCACAACTTGTTCCGCGCGCGAGGCCTTCCGGGAACCTGCGGCAAGGGCTGGCAAGAAGAAGCCAACATGAGGGAAAAGGAAAAAAGCAAACGAAAAAAGCAAAACCGCCGCGTTGGTGCATGGTGCTGTGCCAGGGAAAAGGCTGCGTTACTTACATCATGACTACGGATTGGGAACACACTAAACAAGTTGTCTGTGGTTCGTCCATCTCGCGAGCTGCTCTCCCACCCGTGCTCCCCCTCTCCTGCCAGAGCAGCCAGCAGGGTCGGGCTTTTTGGCCACCCGTCCCCCATGATGGGGGAGGGCATATGGATTTCATTCGCAGCGCCCAGAAGACAGGGGATGGGCAAGCCGCATAGAGAAAAGACGCAATTCAGGCGGTTTCCTGCTGAAGGCACGGCATCGATGGAATTCCGGAACTCTCGGTGCGTCCGATTTTGCCTTTGCCGCTGCGACTCTGCAGTCTTGTCTGCATCCTCCTCCTCTCTCGTCTCTCCACTCCACGGGCGAACAGATAGGCAAGTCTAGCCTCCTGGCCAGGCCCTCGTAACTCGTGGCCAAGCGGCCGATCAATGGGGGGGCAGCAAAACGGCGTTCTGCCTGGCGAGTGTGGATGGGTGGGGATTCCCTGTGCTCTCCAAGGAGAGTCCTTGTCCAACGCCTTGTCTCTCGTCAAGCAGAAGCTCAATCGGAAAAGCTCAAAGGAGCTCCAGGCGGCAAATAGACCGTGCGTTCTTCACAGTTATTTGCCAGAGTGCATACGGTGCCTGCATTATTCTGGCCAGCCAGAAACAGGCACAAGCGGGGGCTCCACTCCCCGACAGCAATGGACGGGCGAATCGTTCGGCACAGCCCAGGTACCAACCTTTTTCCGTTGCCCCATCCATCCCACAAGCCGGCTGCCTTGACCGGCCGCACAGCATGGGGTTTTGAGGGAGGGGAAGAGCGAGCGTGGTGGTGTGGTTGGTGGTGTGCGTGCGTGTGTGTGTGTGTGTGTGTGTGTGCTCGTGTATGTGAGTGTGTATTGTGCGCTGTACTGTGCTTTGTGCACGCGCTGTGGCAAGCTCGAGTTCAGCACAAGCACAAAAAAATGGTGACGGTGCGTCGCCTGCCTCCAGAGCAAAGGACCAAAGGAGGAGAAGGCACTGCGCTATCGCACCGGTGGGAAAAAAACGGCCAACAGCACTGCATCCACACCGCCTCAATAGGGGGGTGGGCCACGAACAGAAACGAATGGGCTTTTTTTTCTCCCTCTGCTGCGTGAGCCATCAGCTTCCTCCACGCTGGCGCTCCCAAAACCCATCGACTGTTGACAAGTGTCAGTGTCAGCGCCGCGGGCGGGCGTGGTGTGAGGGCCTATGGCCATCTCCTGAGCGCCGCGGCCAATCCGGCCAAAACAGCGCAGCGCCAGGCAGGGGGGGGGGGAGCCACGGAGCGGCGCCAGAAGCAGTCAGAGAGTTGAGCCACTCTCGCCCAGTGGGGCGTCATGACCAGCACGCGGAGCCACCACTTCCCACCACCCCCCAGCCAGCGAATGAGGCCCGCCACAGCCTTCGGTGGGTACGCGGTACGTACCACGGCCCGTCTCCACTGTCACACGTCTCTGGCTGGCTCTCCCGGCCTTCCATGCGCTCGCTGGCATGGATTTCAGCCCAAGCGGGCGTGGAGCTGCGTGTCCGCCTCCATCCAGGAATAACCACGCCCACCCCCCTCCGCTCGGTAGGGGGGCGGACCCCCGTCCCAGGCCCTCGCCGTCTCACGCCCTCGCTCGCACACGTCTGTACCACCTGCAGCAGGCGGCGAGCCGGGAAACGAGACTGTGGGTTCCCCGAATCTTGGGGTTGGAGCCTGATTGATAAAATGCGTGGCTTAGTTTATACTAAGAATACCGACCTACAATACATAAACCCATCCTCTTTCCTCGCATTCCCAGACTGCCGGATGAGCCCCCCTTCTTGATAATACACATCCATCCTCTTCCCTGTCCATCTATCGGGATATCACTCGCACTTCGCCCTCACTCCACGAGCATACCTTAGCTACCTACTACCTACACAGCATAGATCAGCGCTGCTAGCCTGTCTGGTGCCGATCACGTTACTTGACGACTATCAACAACCCGAACCTTCAACAACCAACAAACACCCCTGCGGTGATCAATGATCATGTCATCTCCCACCACTTCAGACTACGAGCGCATGGCGCGGAGGGACTCGTCCTCCAGCACCAAGAGGAGGCCGAGGCTCCTGAGGGCCTGCGTCACCGAGCCCTCGCTGACGGCTTCCAACGCGAGCCGTGACGCCCTCGCCAACCCCCAGTCGAGCCGCCGCGCCACCGACCTGCTGAGCCGCGTGGTCTTCACTGGCGGCTCCTCCCCGGACTCGCTCTACCGCGGCGGCTCCTCCCCGGACTCGGCGTCCCAGAACCCCTTCTACGAGAGGATGGCCAGGACAGATGAGCTGTGCTCGTCGCCCACCTCCCACAGCGAGACCATGGACGACGTCCACACACGTCCCCGTATGTTGAACCCTAGCCACCTTGCCCACTTGGTTGCTTGCAACATCACTCTGACGACCTCTGCAGACGGCTCCGACCGTTACTTCAGCTTCCCCCGGTTCGACACCTGGGAGGTTGATGGCCAGGAGGGCAAGGACGGCAACCTCCAGGCCGCCGGCTGATGGACCAGCCCCCTCGACTCCCACTCGACATCCCTCTAGATCGAGGTAGATGATGAGTGGGGGGTCTATTTTTTCAATATATTTCCACCCCTTCGGCTTTACTTCCTTTCATCACCTTCGTCCTTCCCTTCAAGGAACAGGTCAGCAAAGGCGTTTTTCTCCCGACAGACGGAGCTGGAGAGCAACAGCAACAACGATGCCACGAATCCAACGACAAATGACGACAGAAACCAACAATGAACGAAGCAGCAACAGCCACCTGCTCCTGGGACCGCCCACCCCGGCGCACACCCACTAGCACAAAATCCCCAAGCGACAGACAATATTTCCCGGGGGGAACACACGGAACCGTCTTTGGATGCAAGGGACCACTAGCAGCCACGCCGCGGGACTCTGGACCCAGCGGCGTCGGCGGTGCACCCACCCGCCCACCCACCACCCCCACACCAACCTCGACCGCCAGTTTGTGACATGGCTCCAACAGCGCACGCGAGAAGGAGGGTGGTGGAGCGAGGGCGAGTGAAGAGAAAAGGAGAAGGTGAACGGCGGGCGGGATGCCGGAACTGGAGCTGGAATGGGAAATCACCGATCGCCCATCACAGCTTCGATCTGAACCGAATTCCCGGGGTCGACACGCACGGAAGCCCAAATGGAGTCGGAGGAGACAGACGACCCTGCAACCCGCAGCAACAGAGAGGCGGTGATGATAGGTTCAGCCCAGCACAGCGGTCGCATGTGGGTGGAGCCTGACCACAATCCAGCCAAAGCCAAAAACTTTAGTGCAGCCAAGCACCAAAGAAAGTGGAGGATAAAAATGACAAAAAGAAAAACAAGAAAAAAAAACATACCCTAAATCGTGGGACTATAGTACTAGACTAGCAGATAAACAGACAAAAAAAAATCAAATATTGACACAAACAAGGAGCGCCATTTGAGACCCAGAAGTGCGCGATGTGAGGCAACACTAAACCGAGCACAATGCAGCAGCCACAACGATGGACTAGCGTGCGACCAACAACGAACCACCACAATGGAGGTTTGTGTCACGGCCTGTGCCTTGTGCGTGCCTGGGCTGAGGGGGTTGTCGTCCGGCTCGCCGAAAAAAAGGCGGGCTGATGGCGTTGCAAAAGCTCGATGGGCATGCTCGCCGGGTGACGACAGCCACGCCCGGGGAGGCAGGGCTCGTCCGTCCCGGCTCACCACCCACCACTCACCGTGCTTTCCAGAAGGGTTGTCCTAAAGTCACCCCCGGTCGGTACAGGGGTCCAGTCCGGCTTCCGGGCCAAAAGCAAAAAAAGGGAGCGTAGGAGGAATGCTCTCCCTTGGGAAACGGACGGGCACGACGACGGGCTAACTGTGCCGTGTGCACCTCCCTCCCTTTCCATGTTCCAAGGCAATGCTGCATTGCTGAGCGGTTACACTGTACCATCCTCCCTGTTTCCGGGTGCGTATTATCCTTCTTTTTTCTCTTCCCCAGCCGACAAACAAGGCCTGATGTTCCCATCTTAGGGAAGTGATCATCGCCTACGGGTGGTGCTGTCAGAGTGAGCGCACACGGCGCGCGCGAACGGAAATCAGGGTGGAAGGGTGGTCTGAAGCAAGGGCCCTGGGGTGCTTGGTGTCGGAGCTGTGGAGAACCCGTGTTTGTGTCCACCTCCCTTGAAGTCTGTCGATTTCTGTTTTGTGCCTTTCCATGCATCTTTTTTTTTACCTTTATCCCTTGGCCGGATTCCATTCCGCGGGTGGAGCCGACCACGGACTGCCTCTTTCCTCTCTCGGTGTTCCCAGCCCCTCTCTCCAAACTCAGGGTCATGGCACCGAGCATCCGAACTGGGAACTGCGACAGGGTCCAAGCCGGCTTTCCCCTCTGCGTCTCCTGCCCGTAAGAACCAGACGGCTTTGTTGATTGAGGATGTGGGCGAGACTGGCTGGAGGGAGGGTTACGGGTGGCGAAGGTGAGCCAAAAATGGAAGTAAAAACATGAATAGAATAAAAACATGATAAAGGTGCCGGTTACACGCAAATAGAAATAATACCCAATGCTTCCGGGAGTTGACACATCCCCCTCAGCCAACAACAAGAAGCGACCCTTCGGTCTCTTCTGGAAAACCTGGCGAGCTGGCGAAACGAACGTCAAAACCGCCCGGTCATTTCTCTCCTCGTTTCCACCCTTCACTTCACTGTCTTTGCGTTTCTTGTTTTGAGGGCCCGGCATCCACTACCGCTCCGTAGCAAAGCCATCTTCCGTCTCCACTCTCCAGCACGCGCTTTCAGGGTTGGACCTCCTTGTGCTTCCCATCGCTTAGTGGGAAGGACCCCTCAGCCAATAGGTCCATGGAGCACCTCAACAAGGAAAACAGACGTTGGGAAGTGAGGAGAAACGCGCCGGCCGACGGCCCAGAACGCCAGAGTGGCGAAGAGGTTTGGTGATTCGCAGACGGGATGAGCAACATAGCGGGGCCGGTTATGCGGTTGACTTAACAACACGAGGATGTCCGTTGCTCGTGATGAGGGGTTCGTCGCTTGCCGCCGGAGCTTTGCAATTAGTACAGTGTGCCATTGCCGCGATATCAACGGGGGCAGCCTATAATCGACTCCAGCAACATTGCTCAAGGAACACTGCCATGCTACCCATACGCACATTGTCTCAGCGTGCGAGTCGGATGGCGGGTGGGAGGCCATTTTGCAGGAGACTTGACCGTGGGAAGTGAACTTGGTCCCTCGATGGAAGATCCTTTTGCAAACACTTGAGGTTCAGTCCAGGAGAGACAATCACCCCTCAAGGTATGGGAACGCAGCGCACAACGCACTGAAGTCTGCCATGAGAAGCCATCCATTTCAGTAAACACGGACCTCAAAACCCAGGCCGGCGCACAACGGCACTCCGAGAAGCAGACCACCGAGAGAATCCGAGGTGCATTGAACCTGACCATGGCTGTCTGAAGGCCCGCCGGCCTTGGGTGTCTCCCACCCGCTGCCGTCTGCATCCACTGCCGAGATGTCGAGTCTGCGAGCAGGGGCTGGGCAGACGGCAGCAGACGGCGCAGTGGGGCTGGAAATCCATGGCTGATGATAAGATACGGGCGTGGCTGGACGGGCTACCCACTCCTGTGGCTCACTTCCCTCACCAGCCTCAATCGAGGGGAGAGGAAGCACCTTCCACCCAAAGCCCTAATGCGGCAACAGCCAATCACGTGGGCCCGCCCGGCGGCGGCCGTCCCACCTTTGGGGTTTGCAAGTGGGCGGTGGGCTTTGCCAGACAGTTTTCCCACACAACCTGAATTTTATTGCCAGACCAACAACTCGACGACCATCACAACCACCGCGCCCTGACCTTTTGCACAATTGTCCACCGTCGAGACAAGACCGTGCAAAGATGGCTGTCGGAAAGTACGAAATCCCATGCCCCGTCGCATGCGCCCTCCGCCGCCTGTCGACGCCGCAGATCCGAGCAAAAAATTACGCCGGCCGATGATGGGCGGCGGCAGCGCAGAGACAAAATATCGACAACCACCAAGGACCAATATGGCTGACTCGGCTCTCCCCGTAGGAACAAGAGATTGTCCAAGGGCAAGAAGGGCCTCAAGAAGAAGACCGTCGACCCCTTCTCCCGCAAGGACTGGTACGGTATCAAGGTCAGTGGATATGGACCCGGAGCAATGATGTGGTTGCCAGTGCGGGCGCTGCAAACTCGGATGCTTCCTTGGCACGCGACGGCCTCAATTGCTGACATTTGAGCTTCTTTGAACAACAGGCTCCTGCGCCTTTCAACATCCGAGAGTAAGGCATACCCGAACATGCCCTCGCGCCGACGACGATATATGGGCGGCTGTAATGCAGACATGCAGATATGTCGGGATGGGCAGCATGACGCACCTTCGAACGAACCCTCAGGCTGACGCAGTTTTTTCCCCCTACTACTCAGTGTTGGCAAGACCCTGGTCAACAGAACGACGGGTCTGAAGAACGCAAACGATGCCCTGAAGGGCCGCATCTTCGAGGTATCGCTGGCGGATCTGCAGAAGGATGAGGACCATGCTTTCCGTAAGATCAAGCTGCGGGTTGACGAGGTCCAGGGCAAGAACTGCCTGACCAACTTCCACGGCCTGGACTTCACCTCGGACAAGCTGAGGTCGCTGGTTCGCAAGTGGCAGTCCCTGATCGAGGCCAACGTCACGGTCAAGACCACCGACGACTACCTGCTCCGCCTCTTCGCCATCGCCTTCACCAAGCGCCGGCCTAACCAGATCAAGAAGACCACCTACGCCGCCACGTCGCAGATCCGTGCCATCCGGAGGAAGATGACCGAGATCATTCAGCGCGAGGCCTCTACCTGCACCCTGCAGCAGCTCACCAACAAGCTGATCCCCGAGGTCATTGGCCGCGAGATTGAGAAGGCCACCCAGGGCATCTACCCTCTCCAGAACGTAAGGACAAACTTGACCATGGTGGTATCTGTTTCTCTCGAGACTGACTCCTCATCTCTTGCAGGTTCACATCAGGAAGGTCAAGCTGCTGAAGCAGCCCAAGTTCGACCTTGGTGGCCTGCTGGCGCTGCACGGCGAGTCGACCACGGATGAGCAGGGCCTGAAGGTTGAGCGGGAGTTCAAGGAGCGTGTTCTTGAGGATGTTTAAAGAGGTGGATGGTGAATGGTCCCTAGTTGGTAAAGGAAACGGCACGGACACGGTTTTATTTTATCAAGCAGGCACCTCTCTTCTTTTGAGGGTAAAATGGGCATTTGGGGGTCTTGCTTTTTGTCTCTTCGGGTTGCATTTGGCGTGGCAAGATCATGGTACATCCAGTCGTAGTACCCTTCTCCACAACCCCCGATGTGTGTGCCATCGTTGTCATTCACGGCGTACCTATGAAATGGGAAAAGGGATATGAACTGAGCTGGACGGGTCTCGAGTGAGTGGGTGGGTGAGTGAGTGAGGACCCACGGGCCACATGTCAACCTGGGCGGGTGTGGGCTTGTCGTATGTCTGCCTAGGTTGTGTGCTCTCGCAAGCTGTTGGTGGCCTATCCATAGTTTCTAGCCTTTTCGGGCAATCTGGAAGTCCTGCTACTTTAGCTGGCGTGGCCATAACGCGGTGCCTACTGGAGACGGAGCAGTTCACCGAGGCATATCTACTGGACCAAGGCAGCAAGTCGTCTCACTAATATGCTAGCTGCCTGAATAGCCACATGGCCGATTTCTGTGGGTGATATTTTGGTCACGACCATGCAAACCCCTAGCGTACCGTTGGATGCGAGCATGCATCACGACAGTGAGTCCGTCTAGCACGGCAGCACGAGATGATTCAACGGCCGAGGGGGGAGGCTTAGGGCCTAAGACGGGAGTGGATAGGCAGATCGTGTTCTGGAATGATGAACGATCAGATCGCGGGGCGCTGAGGCGACTCGGGGTTGGCAGCGAACCGCCGACTGACTCGGCTGGCTTGAGCTCGCCTGGTGGTTCTCGTGTTTTTTTTCCCCCTCGCTCTCATCATCTCTCCTAGCGCGCGCATAGGTACGTGCTGCTGGCAAAAGGCCCTGGAAGAGGCGGGCAATTTTTTTTATTTTTTTTTATTTCTTCTTTAACCCACGACGCTTGCCATGGCCGTCGATATTCCGGCGCCCGCCACCAAGGACACATACCGACAGTAGCTGGTTGGAAGTCGGGGTTTGGTGTTTGTTGGGAGACCCAGGGGGCCAGGCCAGACCAGCGCGAACGGTTCTGGGGGGTTTGGAGCAGAGACCCTGGTGGTTTTGTTCAATTTTCCTCAAGTGACGACGGGCAGGGGCATGCCCGGCCATCGTTGTTGGCCCTTTATTGCGACTCTCCGGCGCGCGCGGCAGGGGAGACAAACACGATAAACAAACAAGTAGCGTCGTCCCAACTAGGACGTCATAGACTTGGCCAGAGAAGTGGTCATGCGACTCTTGGGAAAATTCACGGCTTCCTCTCTCACTTGGGCTACCTGCACAGCAGGATACACACGCCCACATCTTTGCCACTTCTTTCAGTCTCAGTCTCGGTGCCAATCTCCCTCTCTCTCCAACGGGCTTTTCACATATCATCGCCATTACAGTCGTCTAGGTGACTTACACCGCACCCAGCCAGAGCTGAGACCGATCTATACCTTTCAGAACCTGAAAGACCGACTGACTCCTTGCGCTAGCCATAGCCGCTCGATCCGAGAGCCCGGTGGCCGGGACCACGGCATTAGTGACCTGAGGTTATTGGCCGCCTGCCTGGAGCAAAAGCAGCGAGCGTCCAACACACCAAACACAAGCACGACGCACAAACACGCCCACGTCGGCCGCCGCCAGCGTGCTACAGCGCCAGTAGCGCGGCCGCACAGCGCACAGCGGACCAAGAAGTCCCTAAAAAAAAAAAAGAAGACTCCACCCCCACCTACAACCAAGCCTTTGATAAGGGGTAAAGCATAAACCGTTGAGAGGAGCTACCGCACCTCAGGTGTCGCCGTCGCCGTCGTCGTCCATCTCTTTGTTTTCATGGTTGCTGTTTTTGGGTGTTTGGGCAGAACGGTAAACCAAACAACAAACAGGAATCCTGCATTTGATTGAGTTGGCTCGATTGGAGCTGCTCCTGCCAACTGTTTTTTTTCTTGTCTTTTCTGTTGGACAGGAGCGAGACACGGGACGACACCTTGATCTCTCGGCCCCGCTGTTGGCCAACTGGCAGGGACAACTGGACAGGGCCGGGAAGCTTGCAAGCACGAATCTCTCGCCGTCAAAAAATCGAAGGAAAGGAGCCCCGTGACCTTGGTGCTGCCGCGTTTTCGCAGCTCGGCCTAATCGACGCTACGTACCTCTTTATTCCCCCTTTTTTACTTTTTCTTCTTCCTCGTCTCCTTTTCCATTTCCATACCCTTCTTGCGCCGTACCCTCCTCCCTGCACTCCCTTCTCGTCTGCTACACGAGCGACAAACTTGAGGGGGAACCAGCAAGGGAGAGCGAGCTCGACAGACGGGGCGTCGCCGAAGAGGGGGGGAGAAGGCAGTCGCAGCCACGTATCTTGACGTCTGCCCCCGTGGCACGAAACGCGGCAGAGAAAATGGTTCTGTCAGAAGATTCGCTGCCGACCATCAAGGTCCTCCTGATCGGGTCGTCCAACGTTGGGAAGTCGGCGCGTGAGTAACCTCTGCCGCTCTGCTTCCACGGTTCTGTGGCCTACATTGTGCTGACCTGCCGAATCCGGCGAGTTGCAGTTTTGACGAGGTACTGTGATGACCAGTTTGAGTCCGAGTCCGCCACAGCAACCATCGGTATCGATTTCAAGGTACGGCTGCCCTGCCATTGACCGCTCTGGGCGGCGTAGCACACATATTGCCGTTCCTTGCGCTGACACTCTGGCTCGAACCGTCCCCGGTATAGATCAAGAATTTGTCGGTCCGCGGCAAGGCATACCGGCTGACCCTGTTCGACACTGTAAGCTTCGCATCTGCCCGCTACCCATTTCCCCCTCTGTATAACTTGCTTCCGTCCACGCGCGTACGCCGAGACTCACACGATCGCTTCCATCCCCCAGGCGGGTCAAGAGCGGTTCCGCACACTGTCGACGAGCTACTACAGGGGCGCACACGGCGTCATACTGGCCTACGACATCTCGAGCAGGAAGTCCTTCGCCGACATGGAGAGGTGGTTCGACGAGGCCGAGTCCAACACGGTGTCCGAGGTGGCCCTGTACCTCGTCGGCACCAAGCTCGACAAGGCCGCCACCAGCAGGGCCGTGTCGGCCGAGGAGGGCCTGGCGCTCGCCACGGCCCACGGCGCCCTCTTCTGCGAGGCGAGCGCAAAGACGCGCGAGAACGTGCGCAAGCCCTTTATCGAGATCGTCAACCAGATCGTCCAGGACCCGGTGCTGCTGCACCGCCGGGCGGCCACCATGAGGAACACGGTCGCCGTCGGGGTGAACGACCAGTCTTCTTGGGTGCCATGTTCATGCTAGGCTCGGTTGGCTTCTGTTACCTGTTTAATCTTTCGCTTTTCGCCCACACCATCATCGTATCTCTGCATTTCTTTTTTGCCGGTTCCTATCGTTTTGGTTCCTGGTGTTGGGCATCGGACCACGTCCGGTCTCATCAATGATACCCGGTATTGCTTGCTCCAGTCTCCCGATCGCCCGCGGTCCTACTTTGCGTACTTTTTCATGTTGCATATTGTATATGGAGTTTATCCAGGCAATATTACATGGTAATCCTCTCGTGGCCTTCGTTTCCAATTCAGAACTTGGGCACATTTGAATCCCCAAAAGTGGCCATCCTTTGGTGTCACTCCCTCTCCTTTGGGTCCAAGAATCGCACAACAGCTACATCATACGTGCCAGCCAGGTCAGTTAATGCCGGGACGATGGGCAACAACACCGGCAAAAAAAAAACAAACACGAACCTTGCCTAAACTCTTCGGGCTTCTCCGAGATGAGCCAGTGGCCGGCATCGATGTCGACGAGCTCGAAGCGGGGGAAGAACTGGCCGACGATGGGGAGGGCCTCGTCGGCAACGTACTTGCTCTTGGTGCCACGCACGAAGAGGGCGCGCTTGTTGAACCGGGCCTCGTCCGGGTTCTTGTAGGGGAAGTCGCCCATGTGGTCCAGGGCCTTGGCCAGCACGGATAGGGGCACGCGGAACTTTTGCGTGTCGTCGCTACCGGCGGAGCGGTGCAAGTTCCCGAGGAGGAACTGCCTGACGGGGAGGGACTTTTTTTTTTTTTTTCGTTGTCGTTGTCAATTTTCATGGACGACAGGGACAAGGACACAAGGAGGCAGAGAGAGCAACAAAATATATATAAAAAAAACACCCACAGACTCGTACGGCTCGAGAATCTTGTCGGCCTCGGACTGGCGCTTCACGCCGGCCTGCTCAATCTCCTTCATACCGCGGACGTACTTTGCAAAGTCGCTGCTGATGGCGGCGTCGACGGGCGCGTTGTCGACCGACACGACGTCCTGCACCAACTCGGGCGACCGGAGGGCCAGGGTCATGGCCGTCTTGGCGCCCCTTGCGTTGGTGTTGGTGTGTGAGTAGACGTGTAGGTGCAAGTGTGACAAAAAAAAAAGAAAGAAAAGGAAAAAGAAGAAAAAGAAGAAAACGTCTTACATGGAGTGGCCGATCAGCGTCGGCTCCTGGAGGCCGTGCTCCTCGATGAAGCCGGCCACGTCGTCGGCCATGGCCAGGTAGTCGTGCCGCGGTGCGTGGGGTGAGTCGCCGTGGTTCCTCAGGTCCTGGAAGGCTCTGGGGCGTCAGGCTTCGTGGGAACAGGCGGGCAGACGGCAGCGGGCGTCCCTCCACCATGCAGCCAAGGGGTAAGAGGTTTTTTTTTTGGTTTTTTTTTTACCAGGACATAGACGTGCCTGCCCAGGTCACGGGCGAGAGCTCTGGGTTTCTGGTCAGCCTTCCTGTGCTCATCTATTTGTGGAGGGAAGGTATCCCATATCACTCTCCCTTCACAGTGGCGGCTAGCAGCAAACAACTCACTTACTGATACTCCTGTTGTTCTTCTTGGACCCAAACAGCCCGTGCAGGAACAGGATGGGCGACGTCTTGGCGTCGGCCACGGGCCTGGCCGGCTCGTGGTGGTCAAAGGCCAGCCGCAGCCTCGTCTGCGCGCGCGCCGAGTGCGAGAAGGGGGCCGTGGCCGCCAGGCTGCCGCCTCGCATAATCGACGCCGCGGCGGCACCGAAGCGAGCGCCGCCGCTTCGGAGGAGTAGCAACGCCATCGTGGGTGTGGTATTTGACGCGGTGACGCCTGTCGGATCTCCTGAAAAAGACAAGGGTTTACAGAGATTCCCCGCTGGTTGTCCTGGATTTAATCGCTGGATGTAGACTGGGCGGGAGATTGTTTACTATCCCCGACGTCGGGGAGGTTTTCTTATTTTTCCTGCTGGGTGTCGAAATTTCGTCACTGCTCCCTGGACCTGGCCTTCTTATCTTTTTTTTCTCCACCATAACTCACCACAAGCACAGCGCCCACACACCCCCCAGCGCGGCGAGAGCTACCCCCTAAATCAGACTGCCGTTGAAGCCATCCATTTGTATCTCCCCTTTGCGATTTACGGTATGTGACATCTATCACCACAACGAAGCCCTGCGGTTTTGGAATTATCCCTCGTTTTTTTCTTGGTCACAGACACTCTATCATTTCCCTCATGTCCATTGATTATCCCCTCTCTATCCCCTGTTCCATAATCCCAATCTCCCCTCGCCCAACATCAACCCCAGCTCAGCCCTTCTGGCCCTCACCACCATTGTCAATCTTCCACTGCTTGAACCAGGCCTCGACGCGGTCGACGTTGCTCTCCATCTCGTCGGTCGTGTTGCTCTGCAGCTCCACCACGATCTCCTCGTCGTACGAGTCCCGCGCCTCCTGCAGGAGCACCTCCATGATCTCCGAGTCCAGGTTCTCTTGGAGCTTGGCCTCGGGGTATTTTCTGTGGTGTGTTTTTTTTTTTAGCTTGCTGCTGCTGCTGCTGCCGCTGCTTTTGGTTGATGATAGCAAGACGGTCGCAAAGAAAATCACCCACCTCTCGGTCAGCCTGTCGTAGAGCGTCGTCGAGTCCACCCTCAGCACCACGACGAGGTCGATCCAGCTCTTGGGGAACAAGTCGCAGGCGTGCCAGTCGATTATGCAGCCGCCAGCCTTGGCCTCGTCCTCTATGGCGTCGAGCAGCTGTTTGTCGGGTTTGTGTGTCCGAGTAAATATCGTTAGCTAGCCCTCCTTCAGTCTTCTTTCTTTTATTTTTGCCCTTTTTTTTTTTACTTGGATGGGAACAACACAAGAGAGAGTCCGGGCCAACCTTGTCCTCGTCTACGATCCAGCTCTGGTACTCGTCGTCCCAGCCCTCGTGGCACTGCTTGTCCTTGACGACGTGGTTGACCGAGAGGTGCTTGAGCCCCGTCCGCTGCGCTAGCACCTCGCAGTGCGTCGTCTTGCCCACGCCGGGCGTGCCCGTCACGATAATGTTTGGTAAAGTCCGGGACATTTTTTTGTTTTGTGCTGTCTTTGGGATTTGACTTTTGTCTCGTGTCTCTTTTCCCCTCCTGGGCATTTGTATGCCCGACTCCCCGTCCTTTTGTCGAATATCTGTTCTAGGCTTCTTTTTGCCGTCTCTAGCTTTTTTCCTCTTTCTTTTTTGTTTAGCAGTTTCTCAGTTGACTGGGAGCAAGCAGTTTTTGGCAATGGTGGATACCTCATCCACCCCTCCCGGAGGAGAAAAAAAAAAGCCTAGGGAAAAGAAAAAAGCATTCCCGAATCACGTGCACATTTTGCACACGATGCAACCGCTGTGTACGGTGCACCCTTAACTTTATCTTCGCCTACATCCATTGTTTTGTACCAGAAGATAGATTTATACTATAAACCGTACCATCCCTCTGTCGACCCGCCTGTCGACTTCCACATGAGGGGCATACCTGGGTCGGCACCTGGCCACCTAGCCAAGCGGTCGAGGGCATTGCGAGGTATTTTCAAGTGGTGGCGTATCTACATGGGATAGCAGTACAGATGAATGTTTACATGCAAAGAGCCATCTGCTTGCTGCCTTTCCCTATCTTGAAATGCCAGCCAGCCAGCTAGCCAAACATGCATCCGCAGTCCCCTTTTGCTATTCCTCTCCCCTACCTATCACACTCGTCCCACATATCATGACCCTCGCTACAGTTTGCTCAGGTAATAGATGCGAACAGCATTCAATCCCGGAAGAGAAAAGATATTGAAAAAAAAGTATAGCCCTCCCACCTAATGAGTATAAAGACGCCATAGCTTGTACCCCACTCATTCTCTAGCCGTGAACCATGCCATCCTAAGGGTGTGACCGACTCCATGCGCATGGGAAAATAGCCAAAAGTGCCAAGCCCGTTTTACAAAATGAGGACGAGAAGACTTTGAAGCACTTGGCTTGCCAGCCGAGCACCCCTTGAGAGAGCACAAAGAAGCCAGATCTGGGGCTTCATATCTCCCTGATCCGAGGCAGAGGTATGACAAGAGGAAGCTCAGGCCCGACAAGGCCATGATTCGCCGCCGGCATTTTCCACGACCTTGCAAACGACGAGTCAGAAGGGAGAAGGTGGCACAGTGGCAAACGAGGACGAGATGGAAGATTTAACAAGAACATTATACAGCGAAAGCCAAGGTTCTTTTCCGGGCAGGCTGGAGCGAGACAGTGGCATCGTATCGGCACTGGCGGTCCCCGATTGACGAGACAGGGACAGCGCCAGGCCTAGCCACACCGCGAGGTTGGAAAAAAAAAATAAACAAGTTACTAAGTAATGGGCGGGACTTTCTCACCCCCAACCCGGTCATGGTCGTTATAATCGTCGTATTTGCTCATCGTGGCGCTGACGGGAGGCCGGGGCGAGCGAGACCGGGCACGGGGCTCAAAGAGCCGGCCCGGACACGGCGGGTCCCTAGCACTCCACCGCGCAAACACCACCGACTTGGGCGAAGCCGCTGCCGTGGATCTGGCCAAGTGCGATCCTAACCCTGGCGTCACCCACTAGGCGCTTGCGCCGATGGGCTCCTGCGCCTCAAGCGTCTCCTCGACCTCTGTCAGCTCCTCGGTGGAGCCGTCATAGTCCTCCTGCATGTCGAGCTTCTCCTGCTGCGCAATCGCCTGCGCCGACACGATCTCGGCAAGGCGCTTGAGCCGAGGAGTTTGCAGCCCTGTACGTTAATGGTCAGCAAGAGTCCGCCGCGGGATATCTTAGTTTTGGCCGTGATATACGGGGGACACGTACATGATGGGGTATACGTCTCCAGGGCGGTAATGACCCTGGGCTCGGCGATCTCGTAAGGACCGCTGTCCTCCATGTCGACGGCCTGCAGGAGCAGCACATCACTCTTCTCTGTCACCCTCGAGGCGACAGCCTTCATGATCTCGCCATTGATGGGCTGCTCGTAGTCCGCAACCAGGTACTGGTTAAGCAGCTTCTGGATCTGGTTGGGAGAGAGCCTTGATTGGAGGAAAGAAATCATACAGTCAGCACGAGATCACACATGCGCACAGCTAAGCCGGAGTGACCAGCAAACCAAGGGGTAACTCACATCCAGCAAATATCCTGAATGATCTCAATGTCGTTCAGGGTAGCCTTCTTAAGCTGCAGAAGCTTGGTTGCTTGCTGTAAAGGGGTAGGTGATTATCGAGTTAGATATCGCACCGACTTTGGGACACAGGTAAAACATGGGGTATATAGAGGGAGAGAAGGATGCACAACTTACCATCAAGTGCTCAAGCTGAAGGGTGCCCTCGGGCATGTCGTGGCTCTTGCACCACTCCTCGATGCGGGTGATGTTGTAGTTGATCTGCAGACCACGCTTCCACGACAGGAAGTTGCGGCGCATCAGCAGGTCGTTGAAGGCGGTGACGCCGACCAGACGCAGGAGCTCCGTCACCGTCTGGGTGATGATGGTGTCCTCGAGGTAGAAGGCCTTCATGGCGCGGAACACGCTGTTCAGCAGGCTGAGCAGGTTGTCCATGCTAAAGGCAGGCGCCGAGTTGGTCTGGAGCAGCTTGCCCAGGAACCGGCTGTTCTCGTTAGTAACGAAGCCAGGAAGCGACTGCGACTCGATGATTGCGGGGATGATCATCTTCTGCAGCTTCTTCTTGAGCACCTTCATCCACGTGTGGTAGATGTTGAACTCGAGGCTCTCCAGGTCGTGCTTAACAATCTCCAGCAGACGGTCGTACTCGTAGTTGTCAGTCTTTTGCGCCTCGTACCAGTCCTCGGCGAGGAAGACGAACGAGAGCATCTCGTGCACGTTGGACAGCCAGAAGGCGCCGGGGTTGATGGCGTCCTCGCCGTCGTGCTGCATGACCTCCTGCTGGATCGACTGCATCACGTTGGCCAGGAACCGCTCCGACTCCTTGACGAAGCCGTTGTTCCACATCTCCGACGTCACCAGGTTGATCAGGTACGACGGGAACAGCACCTCCTTGTCCGATGGCGGCGGGTTGGTGTTGGGCGACGGGATCTTGAGGTTGCGGATGAGGCCGACCGTGACCTCCTCGTTGAGGCCATCCTCGTCGGCGAGCAGCGACTCGAGCTCCATCTCTATCGTGTCGGCGCCCGCCACAAAGGTCGAGCCCGAGAGGTGCTGGCGCGTGTTGCCCGTGACCGCCATGGAGACGGGGCGCGGGTTGTAGGCCATGCTGTACCTGTCCATCTCCCTCGGCTCGGCGCCGGCGCTGCGTCGCTTGGGCTTCTTGGACGAGACGAGGTTGATGAGGCCGTTGGCGATGGCCGGGGCGACGCCGCCGTTGGCAGCGTCGCCGTTGGCGATGGGGGCGCTGCGCCTCGCCAGCTCCAGCTGGTCCTGGAGGTCGACCAGCTGCTGCCTGAGGTTGTTCTTCTCCGCCTCGGAGCGCGTCACGTCCTGCCTGGCCTGGTCGAGCTGCGTGCTGGTGGCCCGCAGCGAGTCCTTGAGCTCCGCCTCGGCCGCCTGCATCCTCTTGACGTTGGCGGCCGACTCGTCGAAGTTGGCCTGTAGCTTCGTGAAGTCCTGTTCCAGCTGCTCCAGCTTGGCCGCCGCGATACCGGCCTGGTTCGCCTCCGTCTGCAGCTCCTTGGTCCTGACCTCGAGCGCGTTGTGCCTGCTTTTCCACGACTTGATCTGGTTCTCGTAGTTCTCCACCTGGGTCTTGAGGTCCTTGTTCTGCGCCTTCATGGTGCCGAGCGACTGTGTCAACTCGACCACCTTGTTCTCCAGCTTGTACGAGATCTGCTTGAGGTCGCGCGCCTCCTCCCTGACCTTCTTGTACTCGCGACGCGCTGTCCTTCCGCGCCACAGGCTCTGGATGAGCGTGACCTTCTTGCGGTACTGGCGCCACGAGCGGAGCTGCCTCCTCGACCGCCAAACCCTCTGGATGAGAAGGGCGGCGTTGCCAACACGGGTCTCCATGATCTCCTTCCTACGCAGGTAGCCCTTCATGGCCGCTTGTATGTGGACGATCTCGGCGCGGGACTTCAGGAACGCCTTGCGCTGCTTGTAGCCGCGCCAGACCCTCTGGATGGTGGTGGCAGCCTTGGCGATGCGCATCTGCTGCGCCGCCTTGCGGGCCCTGGCACCCCTGAAGATGGCCTGCGAGCGGATGATGGCCTCGCGGGTCCGGAGATACCTGCGGCGGTAGTACCTAGCCCGCAGGTTCTTCTGGATCATGATGGCCGAGTCGTTTAGCTTGTTCGTCCTCAGGTTCTCCAGGAAGGCGAGCATGCCTGCGCGGAAGAAGATCTTGGTCAGGCCGAGTTGGTACTTGTCGGTGCCCTTGGCACCCGTGCTGTTGCCCAGGGCCGTGGACAGGATGGCGTTGGCCATGGGCCTGATCTCGGCAGTCCACTGGCTGGACGGGACCAGCATGTAGTAGCGAAGCGCAAACTCCTCGTACGTCCACCTGGTCGGGTAGCCGGCAGTGCTAATGCGGACCGTCTCGAGGACACCGCAGGCCCTCAGCTGACTGAGAACCATGGGGCCCTCGAACTTCCAGGCCTCCTTGGCCTCGTTGGGCTTGATGCACCTGATGTAGTGGACATCAGTGTTGCTGATGGTGTTCATCAGCTCGATGAGCGAGGAGCGGAAGATGCCTCCCAGAGTCGGCTTGCGGTTCACCGCGACACCAATCTTACGACCCGCCGCGGGCTTCACGGCCGACGTAGTCGCCGACGCCAGATCCTTCTCGCGAACAGCCGAGGCAGCGTCCAGGACCTGACCCAGGAACTTGTTGCTCGAGGCCCTGAGGACCGCCATGTGCTCGTCCGGCACGGTATCGCGGTTCTTCTCGATGAAGCCCTCGGACTCGTACGTAACGTCGACGGCATAGTGGCAGACGGTGAAGGCCGACTTTCCGAACCTAGGCTTCTTGTAGAACTTGTGCTTGTCGCCCGAGTAGTGGTGGTGCAACTTGTTCACAAACTGCTCGTCGGCGCCCATGGGAAGTCTCGACTCCTCGTCCAGGAGCGACAGGATGCCCAGCTTGCCTTCGATCAGGTCGATGCAGGGCTGGTTGTCGGAGAAGTCGATGAAGGTCCAGTCGATCTGCTCCCTGAGGTACTCCTCCTGCTCCAGCTTGAAGACGTGCTGGTTGAACTCTTGCTGCAGCTTCTCGTTGGCATAGTTGATACAGAACTGCTCAAACGAGTTCTTGGCGAAGTGCTCGAAACCGTAGATATCCAGGACACCGATGAAGGACTTGACGCGGTTGAGGACCTCGTCCGTGGCCAAGCTTCGGTTGATGATGTCGACAAGCCAGTCGAACAGGCTGGAGTAGATGAACTTTGCGACCGAGTCCCGCACAACGATGGCCTGGGCCTGCGTCAGGTTAGAAGTGATCTTTTCACCCCTAGTGACAAGCTGCTTCTTGACGATCCACTTGGCGAACTCGCCGGCGTTGATACCCAGGATGGCGCAGGCGCGCTCCAGGGAGGGCTCGGTCGGGGCCAGAACACTGTCGGTCCTCGAGGCACCGATCTTGACGTTGCCGAGGTGGAGCAGGCCTGCCAGCAGCTTGAAGATCTCGTCTTGCTGCCCCTCGTCGACACCAATCGTCTTGAGCGAAGCCTTTGTGGCATGGAACTCGGCCTTGTCGTCGACGCCGTCGATGGTCGGGGTGTTGCCCTGGTTCAGATACTCGAACTGCTCGATCGGCAGGATTCCCAGCTCCTCGCGCTGCCGGTCCGTCACACCGGCCACCATCTGGTAAAAGATGTGGTAGTTACGCTCCTTCAGAGGCTGGAAGTTGAGACGTGACCGCTCGAGCAGGTAGGTCCTGATCTTGGCACCGATGATGTTGGTCTGGGAGTCGAACATGATCTCGATGTACTTTCCGAAGCGCGACGAGTTGTCGTTCCTCGTGGTTTTTGCGTTTCCGAAAGCTTCCATGATGGGGTTGGTGGCCAGAATCTGCTCCTCCGTCTCGCTCATGGCCTCGGCGCCTTTTTTGGACCGTCCGCCCGGGTTGTCGGGCGATTCTCTGGTGGCAAAGTATCGCATGATGTACTTAGCACTGACTGTCTTGCCGGCACCGGACTCTCCAGAGACCACGACAGTCTGGTTCTTGTTATCTCTCAACATGTCCATGAAGGCCTCCTCGGCGATGGCGAAAAGGTGGGGCGCTTGGGTTGCCCTCTGCTTCCCGGCATAGACCTGAACCATGCCGGGGACGTAAAGGGAGTCGACACGGGCGAAAGGGTTCGCCGCTATTAGTACTATGCCCGAGTATGTATAAATCTCCTTCTGTGCATATCGAAGGCGGATGGCCTGGAGCACTGCAGAGCGGGGCGGTCAAGGCCAGCGTTAGTCGTTGCCCGTGTGCGGGAGAGCGAAGCAGGGCGCAGGGATGCATACCAGCCGGCTCGTTCAGGTGCGAAAGGTTCGTCAGGTCATCGCTGGCCTCCAGCATGGTCGGGTTCATCAACGGCGGTAATGCGGGGTCGGAACCGTTCTGGAGGCCCTCGAGGCTAACGGTGACGTCTTTGGACTATGCGACATGGCGCCGGACGTAGAATGTTAGAAGTGGCGGTCATGTTTTCCCTTGGGCAGCGCGAGCATCGCTACCCAGACAGGAGCGGTCGGCGGTGGGAGGTGAGGGGAGGAGGGGGGGTCTGCAGACGTACCGAGCCATCCTCGAGCTTGAATGTGAGGATCACCTTGGAGCCATCGACCTTCTTGTTGACCACCTCGGAGGCGACCCAGCCCTCGGCGGCGTCGGGCTGCCAGGCCCTCGTCCCGACATCGTACGTCTCCGACATGTTGTGCGGATGGGGGCGGCGGCGGCGGCAGCAAGACCAAGTCGGCTCGGTGCACTACCTGGTCGTGGGGCCACGGGCGGGCTCGAGCTTGTTGGGGGAGTATTTCCCGCGGGACTCGAGGCCCAAGAGCGAAGCAAGCAAATAAGGCTGTTGCAACGAATGTGCAGCCGGCGGCACGGCGCGACGGGACAGGACTTTGATCAGGAGCTGCTGGGAGGCGGGCGAGGTGCAGCAGGAAGGAGGGTGTCGAGTCGGGGCGGTGGCCACAAGTCAACAGTGGAGGCGGGAGCAGGCAGGCGCCTCTGCGGGAGACATTCGTGTAAAGTAAAAAAGCGGACACATGAAACCAGACAAAGAGATGCTGGCCGGAACGAAGAGAAGCCCAGGGAAAACACGCAGCCCAAAAAAAAAAAAAGAAGAGGGAGAAATTCCCGGGCCGGGAGCAGACCGTGGTGTGGATGGCCAGTTCCAGTGTCCTTTGGAGCCAAACGATGTGACGCGGTATAGGGTGGTGGTGGTGGTGGGAGGTGGTGTTGGCAGTGAGGCAGCACAGGGAACCAGGCGAGCGGCCGGGAGGTTTATTTCACGTTGCATGTGCAGCCCGCACTGTGACTTAGTCCTGAATCGATGTCCGCCAGCGCCTGGCAAAAGGGGCTTCGATTATTACTGGGGTTACTGGCAGAAAAAAAAGTTGAGGGTCCCCCAGCTCAGTCGGGATTGGTCTTGAGCGCACACAGCTCCACGAGAGAAGTTGAGGGCTGGCGGGCAGTCTGATAGTGGTGGCTGCAAGGGGCAGGTGCAGCGCTATCAAGCCAGAGTTGCTGCCAAAAACAGTTAGGAAGCCTCGGACCTGAGATGGTTTGTTTTGGCAGTCTGCTAGCCGCACTCCCGACACATGCCCATTCAATCCGAGCCTCGTGCTTGTTTATTGTTATTGATCTTTTTATTTTATCCCTGTGTCCGCCCACGACCTCACCGCCTGTCCACCGCTGAGGTGCAACGACCGATGCAGCAGCCCTGTCATTGGCTCTACTGTGAATCTTGGCCTTTGCTTCCCGCCTCCCTAAATGCAGTTGCCGTTTACCTAACTACCACTTTTCTCTATTCCCTGGCCTCGCCTCGTGCTTCTGCTCTATTCGTTCGGTCCTCAAGCTCATCTTCCCCTTCGCCTTTTTCTCGTCCTTCTCCTTTTTCTTTCCCTTTTTCTTTTAGTCTTGAATTACCGTGGTTTTGCTTCACGAGGCGTTCCACCTGCGACAAAAAGGAAGCAAAGGTGACAAGTCAACCAATAAGGAAAGAGATACCCCGCCGAGTCGGAGAAGCAGCATGTCCCTCCCACCAGACACGCAGCAAAACGAGGCCACATGGTCGTGCCGAGTCGTTCCAAGCCCAGGAACGGCCTCGCAGCCTCTCAAACCTTCACCAGTGTTTTTCCTCTGCATGGAGCCAGCGTGGAATTGTTCGCGTGCATTCGAGGCTAGCATTGGGCGCCCCGCCCTCTTGGCGTCCGCTTTTGGTGACTCGAAAGGGTCGATTGGATCCCCCACCCTAGGTGGGTGTTCGCTTTTTGTGATCCACAGACCACAGAAAGAAAAAGAGAGGGTCCCAAGGGAAAAACAAAAATGGCTTGATCACCCGCCTTTTTCTTCAACACCCCGGCAGCCGGGTTGGCATGGGTCCTTTCGGGGCTGGTGTTGCCGATCCCGGGTGGCCCCATTGGGGTGGCTGGTAGGTGCGAGCAAGCGAATAGGCGAGTCCGCCCGCTGGGATCGGTGAGAACACTGGAAGGCCATGTGTCGGCCAGCGATCATCATTGGTGACGTGCTCCCGTGTCGATGGAATGCCAATCCGTCCATCATTTACATCGTCATCCACAAGAGAGGGTGTGTTTGACAATGGCCTCGTGTGTCTAGAGCCCGTCGGGACCTCCTCGAAACGCGCATTGTCTGTCTGTTTCCTGCTCGCCACTGAATGTGGGCTGCAATCTGATTCGACGCTCATGCCGAACGCCTCCATCAAATCCGTCCATGAGCTAGGTGCCTGGGTTACATCTATGTCTCGTGTATGTTGACGTATATATACCACCTCACAATTGCTCTTGCCGTCACCGATGCCTTCTTGGGGAACACCGCACCCCAGAGGCTACCTTCTCACGATTTGCTATTATTTTGTAAGTAGGCTGCTGGTGGCAGCCATAATGTTTCGAAACCCGTTGGCGGAACGCGCCATCTGAAGATCCAATCCTCCCATGGCCCCTTTCGGCCTGGGATGGCGGCCCTTCCAATTTCCCACCGGCACTGTGGCTCCTCTCCACGGCCTTCCCCGAGTCCGCGACGGCGCCATTCCTGGCAAAATCGTCCTGCTTGGAAACAGCTGTGCTTCAGATTCTCGAGCTCCTCCGCTCAGCCACCCCCGAGGGCACCTTCCGTCGGCTTGGCGTTAGCCCTTGGCCGGCCGTCACATCCCGAGCAAGCCATTCAACCACCAGCCACATGAAAATGAAATTAGTTTCTCTTTACTGCTTGTCGTGATGACATAGCCTCCCTGAGTAGTCTCGGTGTTGATGTGTCCTGGCAAACACCCTATTCCTTTTCTGGTCTCGATGTTGATCCTGCTGATCTTTCCATTGTGATATGCTTTCCCAAGGCATAAGGCTGAATATTGTTGAACTATATCATTCATTCATGCGACCCATCCACGCTCTCAACTTTTGTTGCTCCCCATCCTTTTGTTTTCGTTCTCCGTCTCCTTCCTGTTTTTTTCTGAGCCATCCCAATTTTAACATGGATGCGATATTGGGTAGGGCCCGCCGGGGCACATGGATGATCCGAAAGATCCCCATTACCACACGCATGGGTTAGCCCCAACCCTACCCCTGTTGCCGTTCATGGTTCGTTGGTTCGTTCGCCTGTTTGTTTGTTTGTTTGTTTTTGTTTTCATCCCCCAACTTTTACCCGCTCGTAGTCTATACTTCGTAGCGATCGGGATCAGAAAAGAACCCGGGTCATGATCCGTGCTGTATGCCTGGTTAGTAAACCGCCCCGTGCCGACACGCGATACTTTGGAACAACAACAAGGGGCGCGAGCGGGCCTGCTTACAGCTGAGAGCCTCAAGGGCATCGTGTATCTCCTTGATGTCACCTTCCTTGACATCGCTGATGTCGGCCATCAGGTAGGCAATGTCGCCCCTGCTGTCCGAGATCTGCTTGTCGACGTTGTGATCCCCGAGGATCTCGTTGACCTTGCGCAGCACACCGGGAACGTTTCGGTGAATGTAAATGACACGGCCGTGGTTGGGCTCCTCTAGGGTTAGCGAGCGCAGGTTGACCTCGGGCAGGTTGACACTGCCAAGGGTGATGCCCTGGTTGATATAGCGGACTAGAGCATCGCCGACCTCGGCACCGATTGCCCGCTGGGCCTCCTCGGTGCTGCCTCCGATGTGCGGCGTCAAGATGAGGTTGGACAGCGTGCGCAGGTCCTCGGCCCACGTGTTCAGCGTCTGGTTGAAATAATCACCGTTGGCTGCGGGCTCGTTGGGGTACACATCGAGGGCGGCGCCGGCGACCTTGCCGGCGCGCATGGCGTTGACCAGTGCGGGGATGTCGACGACGGAGCCTCGGCTCGCGTTGATCAGGTATGCGCCGTCCTTCATGAAGCTCAGCTCGCGGCTCGAGATCATGTTCTTGGTCTCGGGCGTCTCGGGCACGTGCAGAGTCACAAAGTCGGCCTCACCCAGCAGCTCCTGCAGGTTCGCAACCTGTCGCGCCTTGCCCAGGGCCATGAGCGTCACAACGTCGTAGTAGATGACCGACATGCCCATGGCCTCGGCCAACACCGAGAGCTGTGAGCCAATGTGGCCGTACCCGACGATACCCAGCGTCTTGCCGCGGATCTCCCAGCACTTTGAGCTGACCTTGTTCCAGGTGCCGCGGTGCATCTCGCTGGAGCGGTCGCCCAGCTGCCGGGCGAGCGTGATGGTTTCAGCGATGACCAGCTCCGCCACGCTGCGCGAGTTGGCAAAGGGGGAGTTGAAGACAGCAATGCCATGGCGCGCCGCAAAGTCCAGATCCACCTGGTTGGTGCCGATGCAGAAGCAGCCAACGACAAGGAGATTCTTGGCTTCGCTCAGGACCTTCTCTGACAGCTTCGTCTTTGAACGGATTCCAATGACGTGCACGTCACGGATCTTCTCGATGAGCTGGTCCTCGGACAAAGACGTCTTGTGGGCCTCTACCTGGTATCCCTGTTCCTTGAGGATGTCCTGGCCACTCTTGTTGACGTTTTCCAACAGGAGGATCTTGATGTCGGTGGTGTTGAAGGGCTTTAGCGGCTTGGCCGTGGCCCTCTTAGGGGAGGCAAACGCAGAGCGACTCGAGGGTGGTGAAAACGTCGAGGGTGATGTGGAGACGGCGACAGTGGATGGGCCATTCCTCCCCTGGGAAGAGAGGATATCTCTAGGAGCCGCCATTGCTGTTGTGACGCAGTTGATGACTGTGAAGTGGTGTGGTTTAAAGTCCAATGTCGAACGGGAGCCTCCTTTTGCTGCCACTTGTACGAAGCGTCTTGTTCAGTTCCTAGAAAGTAACGGCTCCGATCCGAGCTCGTAAGTATTTCCAGACAAAATCCTTATGCCTTTTGAGAAGGTGACAGGCACCGCGGATGTCAATTGCAAGAATGAGACGGCGTTTTGTGTCTTGATGAGTAGAGTCAACCCAAATTGATGGTGGGGTCGGTTCGCTCTAGTGCCCAGTTTTGTCATCAACGTTGGCAAAGAATGAACGCGGGTGCGTGGGATGGCGTGCTACATGTGGAAGTGCGGCGGGGCTGGCCAGAATAATTTTTTTCTTCCCTCACTTCGTTGGAGGATTTCGCATCGGGCAGATTTCATATGTAACATGAATGAATAATTCCGCGCCGAGCATCGGAGCCAGCTTCCTGGGTGTCCAACCTCAGCTATGGGGCAATTGGATCTTTGCGACCTGCATGTATACGGCCTGCTTCTGAGCCATCCTGTTGTGACTTACACGGCATCTGAGGGGAACGTGCCAGATCTTGACCGCGACATGCTCGGCGATCAGAACCATTTTATTCGAACCAGACTTTGGGGAATATCGGAACGGCAAAGCAGGAATTCGGATATATCCAGAGCTAAGGGTTATGTATGACGCATCCCCTGTCACTCCAACTGAACCGGCTCGCCATGGCTTCCCAAGAGGTTGCGGCTCCACGGCGGGATTTGAAGCACCAACCTTTGAAAATTGGCACTCGAACCACGCCAGCAATAGTCTCGGTGCTGTATCAGACACGTGGGGGTCCTTTGAGCAACCATTTGCCCGAATACATCATGCTGAATAGAGTGCCCTTCAGTGCATTCCTGTTGACGAGTTTTGCCCTAGACCCCAACAACCTGGAAACCGAGTGCCGCAGCCATGAGTGAGAACCGCTGTTATGCCTGTTTTCTTCATCCGAAGTGTCCCATTCCACTGGTTCTTCCGCCGCGCCGTAAAAACCCCCCCCC